CTTTAATTTTAATGCCATTTGTTTAAGTATAAAATTTTTTTTTTTTTTTTTTTTTTTTTTTTGTTGGGTTTCCTTTTTTTTTTTTTTTTTTTTTTCTTTTTCTTTTTTTTTTTTTTTTTTTTTTTTTTTTTTTTTTTTTTTTTTTTTTTTTTTTTTTTTTTTTTGTGCCCCCTTAAACTTTCCCCAAGTCAGCATTTTCGATGCGGCAGTTGTGTATGATACCTGTGGTTCAAATTAAAATAGCCATGACAGAAAAAGGAAATATTTCCCAAACCATTCGAATATAGTTACACTTTTTTTTTGGGGGCGGGAGTGGGGAAACTAAAAGTGTCATGTTATGTTAAGCTGTGTTATAATACCTTCCTTTTTTCTATTTTCTTTTTCTTATGCTAACGTACCGTGATTGCCTTTTCTTCTTTACTCACCCTTTAGTAGGGTTGGAGTAGAAATGCATTACGAAAATTTTTTTAAAAAAAAAAAAAAAAAAAAAAAGGTCGAGAAAAATATTCCTAAAGTAAATCCTATAACTGCGGAAAATTTAACCAATCCATAGTGGAAAGTTTATAGAGATCAAGCAACTATATAATTTGTTTTTTCTTTAATTTTTTTAAAACTTTTTTTTTTTTTTTTTCACCACTTGTTTGAAAAAAAAAAAAAAAATTTTGACTCTGTTGCAAGCTCATACCCATTGAGAGCTGTAACAAAAGGAAAAAAAAAAAAAAAAAAAAAAAAAAAACCTGTTTTATTCCCGCACCCTCCAAAGGCATAATAAATATATACATAAAGAAAAATCATTGTTATGTATATTTTTGTATTCCTGTACAATTATATACATACATACTTACATGCTTTTTTTTTTTCGTTTATATATGTAGTTAGAAGAAACTCTCTTCGTTACTCCCAATTTTCTACTTTTTCCGTTAAAATGGTAGTAACAGAAGGGCAAATCGAAACGAACCATGAAAGGAAAAAGCAAAAATACAGGAAGGAGAAACCTTGGGATAATGAAAACATAGACCATTGGAAAATAGATAAGTTCACGAGAGAAGATAATAAGAATCATTTCCTGGAAGAATCAAGTTTTAAGGTTTTATTTCCAAAATATAGAGAAAAGTATTTGCAACAATTCAGTACAGATATAAAGAATGCCTTAAATAATCATTTCATAAAATTCGAAATTAATTTAATAGAAGGATATATGTGTGTTAAAACAACGAAGAAAACATTCGATCCTTATATTATAATAAAAGCAAGAGATATGATTTCTCTACTTTCGAGAAGTGTCCCATTTAGTCATGCAAAAAGAGTTTTGGATGATGAGACATTTTGTGATATAATAAAAATAAGTACTTATGTACGAAATAAAAATAAATTTATTAAAAGAAGACAAAGATTGTTAGGAAGTAATGGAACTACATTAAAAGCACTCGAAATTTTAACAAATTGTTATATATGTGTTCACGGAAAAACTGTTAGTGTCATTGGATATTTTAAATCCTTAAAAATTGTACGTAGAATTATAATCGATTGCATGAAAAATATACATCCAGTTTATCATATTAAAGAATTAATTGCCAAAAGAGAATTAGAAAAAAATGAAGAATTAAAAAATGAAAATTGGGAAAAACTACTCCCAAATTTTAAAAAAAGAAATGTACAAAGAAAAAAAATTAAACAAAAAATAGACAAAAAGAAAAATGGAAAGAAAGAGAACAAGTCCATCTTCCCCCCTGATCAGTTGCCTCGTAAAATTGACATTCAGATGGAGACTGGAGAATATTTTATGCGATCAAATTTCAAGAAGCGAAATAAAAACTCAACCAAATCGGAACTAACACAGAGGGAATCCTCTCCATAGTGCACCAATCCTTCCTCCTATTTTACATGCCCTCTACCCTCCCCCAGGTTCCTGCGAGGAAAAAACTGACATAACAGTGATGACCAAGCCAATGCAGAGAAGTTGAAAAATATAATGGAGCGAGGTTGAAAAATATAATGGAGCGAGGTTGAAAAATATAATGGAGCGAGGTTGAAAAATATAATGGAGCGAGGTTGAAAAATATAATGGAGCGAGGTTGAAAAAACGAATGGAACGAGGTTGAAAAATATAATGGAGCGAGGTTGAAAAATATAATGGAGCGAGGTTGAAAAAACGAATGGAACGAGGTTGAACAAACGAATGGCCTACATTGGTCAGACCAGTGAAATCAATAAATGGAACCGAATTTCGTAGACATACACAATGCCACGATGGAATGAAAATCATGAATGTGAAAAGTGTGCACTGGAGGAAAATCAACTTGGGATGGTCCTCCTACTCTTTGTTTCTCCCCCAACCCCCTACACATGCAGGTGTGTAGAGAGTGTGCTTATGCGAACCTACGTATGAAAAAAATATGTATGCACATTTGGTTCATACATGCTTCACCCAACTGAGCAATTCAATCAGGGTAATTTGACGTTACTCGTTTGTGGAGTGATTTAATGATCACTCATTTGTGGAGTGATTTGACGTTAACGCATTTGTGGAATGCTCCGACTGTCACTCATTTTTTTTTTTTTTTTTTTTTACCAAACTGTTAAAGAAAGTGGAGATAAATGTTGCTCCACTTGTGTCTACTGTTTATTAATTCCTCCAAAGAGAGAGGCACCACGCCTTACGAGGTGGAATCAAATTTTTGCGACATCTCCACAAATGCTGATCAGGGCGTAAGCGTGGGATTTTTCCTCGCGCATAAACAAATTGGTAATCTTGAATGAAGAAATTAAATTGGCACCAATGGCCTTTATATGGGACTTCGCTATGAAGAGAATGTCCGATATTATACTCTGGTAGAAAATATCAAACTGTTTTAAATTCACATTTTCTTTAACAATATGTAATGATATAACCCCGAAGTATTTTTTTATTATAATATTTGGGAGTACATTCAATGGGGTTATGATTATAGAGGAAAATTTTTGTTCTGTGAAAGAGTCAAACAAATGTTTTCTGTTTTCTAAAAGGATGTAATTTTTTAATTCATTAAAAAGGAATAAGGTGTCGCATAAATTATACATGTCGGGTGATTTGTTATTTTTTTTTTCTGTCTTTTTTAAAAATAAGCTTAATTTGTTCACTTTGTGTTCCCGTTTTTCTTTCTCCTTCTCCAGTTCCTTCTCTCTGTCCTTCGAATTATTTTCCTGTATTGTATTTTTCGTCGTCCCGATAGACTTGGTTCCTCCTCTCTCTTTGCGCGTGAAACCAAATCGTAAGTTTAAAATTTTGTCCAAGAAAAATTTCCAGATTCCTTTTTTCCTCTTTACACTTGTTCGCTTAGTGATGGGAAATCCGATTGGTGCTCTTCCATATGTTTGCTTAAAACCACAATGGTAATTGGGGTTCATTCCTATCATGTGTCCTTTTGGAGGGAGAAATAAATTTCGATAATTAAAAAACAACTCCCACTTTTCAATATAGTAATTTTCTAAATAATTAAAAAAATGCTTTAGCAAATTTTCTTGCATTGATTTGTTCATATTGCTTAGTTCCAAGTTTATTGAATTATTATTTTTTATTTTTATTAAATGCCCAGTTAGCATAATTTCTAACACATCAACCGATATGAATACGAAATGAAATTTTATACTGCATATACAACATGGGCTTAAATTATGTGCAAATATGTAAAATATGAATATGTTATACAAGTCATTAAAGGCTTTATTTATTTTTTCATACACTACATCTTCTTGCTCGCTATTTTCGCTAAATAAATTTATTCGCTTGATTAAATAGAGGTAACTCTTGGACAAATTATTTAGATATGTGTGTTTACTTTTATTTTTGTTTTTCTTTTCTGTTTTTTTTTCTGCCTTTTTTTTTTTTTTTTCCCTTTCTTCTTCATCTTCTTCTTCCAATTGGTCCATTTGGTCCATTTTGGCCCTTTTTTCTCTCTCCTCTGCGGGCGTATGGTCCCTTAATGAGTCCTTAACTCGGGTCCCATTCCTCTCGAAGTTGTTGTCGAAGTTGTTGTCGAAGTTGTTGTCGAAGTTGTTGTCGAAGTTGTTGTCGAAGTCCCCATCAAAGTCCCTGTCGAAGTCCTCATCGCTATCTCCGACGCAGCTCACCTCGCTAACTCTATTCCTTAACGGATCATTGTTCTCCTCTATGGGTAGACCTAACAATCTCCTACTGATTAACAAACTGGGTCCCTTCTCTAAGGAATCGCTTTGTTTTGCACTGCTGCAATCTTCTGCGTTGACACTGCTGATATAGCAACTGTTGGTTATTGTGTCAAGATAGTACTTGGTGTTAATGCTTAAAATGTTTCCCATAAATGGATCCTTTTTTTCCATGGCACATAAGAGTGATTGGTATGGTGCTGTCCTTTTTTGAGGCACATCCCAACTAGTCCTCTTAGGTAATACCATGGTCTTTTTCCCATTCGAAAAAATTTCACTGTTTGATATTCCATCATTATAATTTCGATTCTGTGCCTTTTCGTCCCTTTGTTCGTAATAGGTTTCGAATTTTATGCTCGGCAAAAAGTCTAGAGTGCAAATATAAAAGAAATATTTGACGTAACTTTGAATTGTTCCTTTCCTGAATTCATTATCGAAAAGTGGTGTGTTTTCATTTCTGTTTAAAACAAATGAACGATTGCATGTTTTCATTAATCTTTCTCGAATATTTGGATTGAAAATTTTTACTTTACTAGATTTGTTCATGCTCATGCTCATGTTCGTGGGACTGTCTAGTGAAGCAGCATGCAGAATTTTGTCACGTTTTATATTAACGTTGGATTCCTTTCCTCCTTGGTCTCTTAGGTGCACATGCTCCCCAAAAATATCCTGAGGTGATGTTTTTCTTCCTCCTTCTGCTTTACGAACCACGTCTTCAATTTCGTTCTCTTTTTTTTGGTTTTTCTTCCTTTCCCCATTATGGTCGCAATTGTCGTCGCAGTTGTAGTTGCATTTACTGTCATAATGGTAACCGCTGTCATTATCGTGAATTTCCCACCGATTTTTCTCCTTTTCTGCCGATACAAGTTGGTACGTTGGTTTCTCCTCCAGTTGGGGAGAAGTAGATTCCGTTTCTTTTACAATGTTGAATTTTTTCACTTCATCTTTGGTGCATCCATTTAGGTTTTCTCTCGTTTTCTTCGTTTCATATGTACTATTGTGCAGATTATTCTCATGTTGATTCTCCCGAATTTGCTTCTTATCATTTGTACTTTGGGCATTTCCCGTTTCATTTTTCCTGCTGGACAACAGAAGGCGATGTGTGGAGACCCTGGGAACGGCCGTAGCATTGTCACACCTCCTATTAATTAGATAATTCTGCACATCTAAATTGAATATATAATTGTATAAAGCTATGCTATCTTCGTAAATGTTGAGGAGAGTTATATTATCAAGATGATCTTCCACTTCATAGATATAACCCCTGTTTTTGATTCTTTTAGCTTTTTTTTTTTCTTTTCTTTTTTTAATTCTTTTTCTCTCATTGATTCCTAATTTAACATTTTCCATGGAATCATCGAATATTTCGCCCTTGAAATGTTTATCCACCTTCATATGATCACTGTCGTTTGGAAAATTTAGTAATTCTTCTTCTTCCTTCAAATATATTTCTCTTAGTCTAAAATAATTGTTACTCCTAATACTTTTATTATTTCCTGCATCTTTGTTTTTGCTTGCATCTTTATTCTTGCTTGCACCTTTATTATTTCTTGCATCCTTATTTTTGCTTGTGTCTTTATCTTTATCTGTATCTTTATTTTTACTTGCATCTTTATATTTACTTGCATCCTTATTTTTGCTTGTGTCTTTATCTTTATCTGTATCTTTATTTTTACTTGCATCTTTATATTTACTTGCATCTTTATATTTACTTGCATCTTTATTTTTACTTGCATCTTTATATTTACTTGCATCTTTATTTTTACTTGCATCTTTATTTTTGCTTGCATCTTTATTTTTACTTGCATCTCCATTTGATACCTTCTTACTGGTTTCTAACCCAAGTTCATCATAAAAAGATTCTATAGTTACATCTTTAGCGCTAGAATTAATCAATTTACTTTTATACGTCTGTGCATGTTCCACATTCTCGCTCCTATGGTACACAATATCACCTTGAACAAACACTGGTGAAAGAAGACTTTTATTTTTGCAGAAAAAAGATCTATAATTTATATTATCATAAATTATTTTCAATTCCCTTGCACTTATACTTTTATTTCTTATATAAAAATTGTCCTTATAATTTGATTTTATTAAAAACTTGTTTTCTGAATAAATACCATAGATGCATATTCCTGTGCCGTAACAATAGCCAAATAGGTAGTTCTGGTTGAAGCATAATTTCAAGTTGTAATCGAATATGCTATTGAACCCGTTAACCAACAGCTTGCAGATTATTTGTTTGTGTAGGTTCAATTCCAGGAATGGAAAAATCTCGCTTATCTGTGGTGTGAATGAATAGTAAAATATGAATCGATTATAAATGCGATCATCTTAAAATGATAAAAAAAAAAAAAAAAAAATTGTCTTTTTCTCGTAGACAACACCACATCACATGATAAATTCGCTCGTTCATGTGTGAGAAGATATAGTGGAAATTCATTTTTTTTGTTTATTTGTTCTTTCCATTACTTCTGCTGCGAGATATTCTCCATAATTTTTCTTCAGTGGGTACACTACAAAGGCGGAAATGAGGAAGCCACTTCGAAGGAAAAAAAAAGAAAAAAAAAAAAAAGGAACAACAATGATGGAGATAGGAATGGAGATGAAGACAACGATAATAAGGACAGTGTCCATGGCATTGACCATAACTTAGCGTTATCTCTGTGTGATGTGCAGAGTTAGGGTAACAATTTTGTCTTTTTTCTAAAATTCTACTTTCCAATAACAGCCATATTTTGTGGGACACCTGAGGAGGAAATGAGGATTTTTGGAACACATGCCTCATTACAAACCCTGGCACGGGAGAAAAAAAAAAAAAAATAGAAACTATATGTCAGACGTACATGTGGCACATATGAGATGCATATGATGCTGATGTCAGGTGCATATTTGGATAATATTTAGTGTGCGTGTTACACGAGAGAGCACGAATGTCGTTACACATATATGTATAAAGTCGATTGTATGTCACCCGTAAGACTGTATGAAATAAAAATACAGAAATTCATTTTCTCATATGGGTCACATCCTTACCTGCAAATGGATGTATTCTTTTCAATATCATCAGACGCGTAATGTAAATAAACACAACTTAAATTTTTCTGGGAACTCGAGGGGGAACCCCTATACGAATGTTTCTTATTCTTCTCGTGATTAACATAGAAAACAATTTTATCATCTTGGAAAAATGAAGACATCACATTTATGGCAGTCCCATAGCAAAACAGAATTATTACATCATTGTAAATGTAAGTATCTTCTTTGTAGCCTGCAAAAAAAAAAAAAAAAAAAAAAGAATATATTTTGGTTAATGATGTAGCATTGTGGAGCTGTGGTGTGGTAACATCTCAACTTTGTAACACTATCCTGGGTAATCACTTCTAAACAACCATCCTGTGAATAGGTTTTCCCAAACACAGTCATGTACTCTCTCATATATATGATTTGAATATGTGATACCTAAAATAACGTTGCACGATAAAAACTTTGCATTCGATTTGATCTAAGGGAAAAGTGGAAATAGGTAAGTTTCTGAATGTTACAGAGACGGATAGAATTTTCATTATCAAGGCATGGACACTAAGCATGATAAAATGGGCACTCCTCATTGCAGGGTTTCACTAACTATCGCTTTTCTTTTAATAGAATTAATCTGGTAGTTTATTTTTTTGTTACTTTTTTTTGTTTATTTTGTTTATTTTGTTTTTTTTGTTCATTTTGTTCACTTTGTTTATTTTGTTTTTTTTGTTCATTTTGTTCATTTTGTTTATTTTGTTCATTTTGTTCATTTTGTTCACTTTGTTCACATTATTTACTCTGTTCATTTTATTTCATTTTCAGTCCTTACTTCATCCCTTATCTCAAGGAACCACTCATCCCGGTGTTCCTCTGTCAGGCGCTGGTGCAAAACCTTAACGGCTTTGGCAGCTACAAGCCCTCCTATTAATGAACACATTAATTGACACGTATATATGCAATCGGCGTACGTGTGAATATATATGTATATACATGATGAAATCCTTGGCATAAGGTGTGAATGTTTCATTTTCACCAGGAAGAATGAGTCCATACAATCTATACAAATGTAATAAATACGTCTGCACATATGCGTTTTTGCACATGTGTTGGTGTACATGCATTTGTGCAAATGTGTTTGTGTGTGGCCTATTCAGCTCTTAACTGAGTCAACCTACCATATGTGTACTTTATGATATGTGGAAGGGTGTCCACAGTCAGCAAAATAACATCGACAAAATTGAAAGTAGAGTTAAGGAGTGTGCTTTCACGTTTGTTTAATTTTATGTCTTTATTTTTTTCTATGCTATTCTGACGCAGAAGTTCATTGCTTCGAAGTATATTTTTTATGTTTCGATTTTCACAAAGATTCATGTAATTTGGATCATTCATATTCCTAATGGCTAGCTTCACGACTGTTCCTATGATTCGAATGCAAATCCTGCGATGGTAGTGGTAGTGGTGGGTTATATATGCGTCCAGAGTTGGTATATTAAAAAGGTGGATAAATAAACAAGGAAAAGAAAAAATCCAAGTGATAACAATAATGAAATAATAACAACAACGTGATAGAATCACAAAACGATATCTCGTGAAATCTGTCTTACTTGTTTGTTGTACTTCCCTCCAAGTTCAGATGCTCTTGGTAGCCCAAGATTGCGTTCCCACCTAGCAATTTAGCCTAAACTCATAGGGGAAAAAGAAGAAGTAAATTTTCCCTTTATTAACACAAATGAAAAGGCATAATCTGGATATATATTTATGCAGGTGCATGTATATGGGGAGAGGGGCGATACCACACGTGTGAGACACATTTGCACCTCCTACCATTAAATTAATTTAATTCATGGGTAACCTTTTTTCCTATGATTTTTCTCGTTTGCATGAAGGAGTTCTGTATGATGTCACATCTTGCCTCATTCGAGTTTCTACAAAATTTGAAAAGAAAAAAAACGTGATGCAAAAATGGAACGCAAAAAAGTGATGCAAAAATGGAACGCAAAAAAGTGATGCAAAAATGGAACGCAAAAAAGTGATGCAAAAATGGAACGCAAAAAAGTGATGCATAAATAGAAAACAAAAAAGTGATGCAAAAATGGAAAGAATTTTTTTTTTTAACTCTTGTCCACGTTATGATACACCCATTTCTATGCTTTTCCCACTTTTGATTTTCTCACCTGTTTGATCTTATCAAGTCTTTCCAGTCATATTCCGGGTCGTTAACTATTTTAAGTTCGTGCTATGAAAAAAGGAAAAAAAAAAGAAAAGGTGAAAAATATTTTCTTTGTTCAGTTATCATTCTTGATACAAAATATGATGAGATACATTTGGAAATTCTTCACAAAAATACTTTATGTGCAGATATGTACGAACAGACGAACGTATGATTGTTTTATTTTACTGCAAAGTTTATTATTTGTTCAATGTAGTAGGGAGAATTCTTCGGAAAGGACGTTGTCCCCAGGAGTAAGACATCTGAAGGGGATGTGCAGGAACAAGTTAGAAACAAATACAAAACTGCTAATGTGTGCGAAACAAATGGAGAACTTCCAATATGTGCTAAGCAAATGGAGAACCACCAATGTGTGCGAAGCAAATGGAGAACCTCCAATGTGTGCTAAGCAAATGGAGAACTTCCAATGTGTGCGAAGCAAATGGAGAATTGCCAATGTGTGAGAAACAAATGCAGAACTGGGACTGGGGGTAATGAAAACTATTCTCTCTAACGGTTAATTTTCATACCTGCGCTGTTATCATTGTAGGGATTTTTTTCTTCAAAGAATTCCCATTTCATGGTACAGTAAAGTTCGCCTAAAATTTAATCAATATAATTTGTGGTGGTGAAATAAATGCACCACTTTAGCGAGGAGTGGAGAAAGGAGCAATTCACACTGCCTTGCGTTTATGCAGATGTATGTTCGTGTACTTATGCATACAATGTATGCGTTGGTAAAACCTTTGAGTCCGGTTAATGAGTCGTACAGGGGGAACCATCCCTCAAGCTTCAAATTGTCGTGAAAATAGAAGAAACTAAAGTCTATTTGAATGTATCCGCTGTTTATATTTTCAACATCGTCAATCTGTGTGCGTGTGTAATGCGGTGACAAAAACGGAAGTGGTGATAAGATCGATTGTGGTGACAAGAGCGGATGTGGTGATAAGAACAATTGTGGTGACAAGAGCGGATGTGGTGATAAGAACAATTGTGGTGATAAGAACAATTGTGGTGATAAGAACAATTGTGGTGATAAGAATAATTGTGGTGACAAGAGCGGATGTGGTTATGTTTTTTTTTTTTTTTTTTTTTTTTTTTTTTTTTTTTTTTTTTTTTTTTTTTTTTTTTTTTTTTTTTTTTTTTTTTTTTTTTTTTTTTTTTTTTTTTTTTTTTTTTTTTTTTTTTTTTTTTTTTTTTTTTTTTTTTTTTTTTTTTTTTTTTTTTTTTTTTTTTTTTTTTTTTTTTTTTTTTTTTTTTTTTTTTTTTTTTTTTTTTTTTTTTTTTTTTTTTTTTTCAATCTATGATACATTCGAATGTCCGTTCACTATCGAATCCGTACCGTTATCTTCAGTGGGCAGGTCTGCAGCTCAGAGTCATCAGCGATTTCCAGCCGAAAGGACAAGTTCAGGTCATTCGTATGTCTATTAATATCTGAATAAAAGAAAATTTATGTATCATAAAAATATGTGGCTCAATCTTGTTTTATGTTGGGAGATGGAGAACATTTTTATCTCTTCACTTGGGATGCCTCAAAAAAAAAAAAAAAGGGGAATTTAAAATTCCTAACTGAATTTCGTCCTTTGCTTTGTTTCTCCCAGGGTGACCTAATAATGGTGCATGCATACATATATACATGTATATATATTGGGAATGCATAGGTGTGGATGTGTTTTCAGAAAATTCTATCAAATTGCACTTTTGGTACGCCCCAACGAACGGTGTAATTTTCCCTGTTGGCATGCAAATGCTTTAAATTTCTAGAGGATTTTTCGTCCTTTATACGTTCTTCCACACTCACTTCAACATATTTAAGCGAATCAGCTTCTGATTTTTCAAAGGCATTAAAGTCCCGTATGCCTGATATCCTGACCTTGAGGATGCACGGCATGCTATGTTCTTAGAATATTTCGAGTGCTGTCACTCAGGGGTGAGATAACCCAAACGAGAACAAAAAGGGAGAAGTGGGAGAAGAAAAGGAAGAAATTGGAGAAGAAAAGGAAGAAGTGGGAGAAGAAAAGGAAGAAATGGGAGAAGAAAAAAATTATCCTCTTTCTTACAATAGTGAAAGAACTCAGATTTACAAAATCGAGCAAGAAAATCAGCCTCTCGAACGAAAAGTTCTTCAAGCTGAACAACAGGTAATTCTCTCGAAATAGAAATAAAAAAGTTGTGGCTTCAAGGATGTGTAATGGAAAATATTGAGAAGCACACACACTTGAAAAAAAAATAAAAATGGTGTGGCTCACAATGAAACAAACAATGTACTTGCATTTTATTCAAGAAGTTGTTTCTTCTATCTTCCCAGGTTCAACGTTTTATTTGAATTTGATCATAGGAGGGAAAAAAAAAAAAAAAAAAAAAAAAAAAATTACACCTATGCGTAGCGGTATGGTATTAGCACTTGAAATGTTTGCAAAGTTTTGCCAAAAAAGAAAAACAGAACAAAATGAAAAACAACCACATAAAATAAAACAGAAAAAAAATGTATAATATAAGGTAATGTAAAATCCTTGATCTCTTTCTCGATCATAGGTGAGGTTTTTTTTTTTTTTTTTCTTCTATTCATAACGCAAGTCTAATTAAGGGAACTTCCGCATGTAACATTATTGTCCTATACGTTAAATAAAAAAAAAAAAAAATCAAATCAAATTAAAAGCACAAAAATTTAGAAAAAAAAAAAAAAAAAATAATATTTCAAAAGGGTTTAACCTTTTAAAAAGGAACTATTTACTAAACTTTACCAAGTCTTATACAATTTTACATTTTTTTTGAAGTTAAAAGGGCCATTTTTCTTCATATGTTGGAAATACGCTATTTCTTTATATATCCTTCACTTTTCAATTCTTCTTACACGAAGAAAAATGATTAACAAAGTCAATCGATAAATTTATTAGTTTATCATTTGATTGGATTATCAGATAACAAGAGGATTACTGTCGAAAGGGTGCTCATAGACAGATTTCACTTATTGGCCATATATACCCGGTCCATCTTTTTTTTATTCCTATTTTTTTACAAGCCTTTTAGATATATCATAAAGCCGCATATGAATATTATAAAAAAATTTGTTTAACTAAAATAATAAACTTGAATTCCATTTTTGCTTATAGTTGTTCATTTGAAAAACATATGTCGAATTGTTGTTTACCTAAAATGGAAAAAATAATGAAAATCGATTTGTCTGTTTTTTTTTTTTTAGAAAAAAAGAAAAGTATGAACACATCCTTACAGATGCATATATGCATAATACTTCGGATAATAAATAAGGCGCAAATAAAGGTAAAGGGTACAGGGGAGTTATTAATTTTTCTGCACAAATTCAAACCTTTTGAAATGTAATCAAATGTAAAAGAAGGGGTTCATATATATTCACAAGCAATAGTGTATGAAAATCTTTGTAATGGGTTTGTATATATCTATGTGTCCATGACAGATAGGGAGACTCTTTCAACTACGCAAAGGATATCCATACTAGACAATTATTAAAAAGTTCCAACACAAAATGGTGTGACACCTTAGATTTAGGAGAAAATAAAGAATTTTTTTTTTTTTTTTAACGTCTTGGGGGATGGCCGAATTAGAGTATCACGATTTTACACCAACTTTTGTTACGTTTGGTGTACTTCCTAACATATTTCATCTGTCCATTTCTCCTCACCCCATATTTTAATAAGTCACATTGTTATGTTATTTTCGTCCAAAATGTATAACACTGTTTAGTGAAAAGAAACAAGACAGATAGTGCAATAAGCAGCACGATGAATTGCAAAAAAAAAAAAAAAAAAAAAAAAAATTACCATTTTGTGCATGCAGAAAGTTCACTTAAATCAGTATAACATAATGAAATATCGTGCTTTCTTCAACATTGTAATATGTGAGAAAAAGAAAACTGAAGCATCATAGAAGAATAGAGTGCAGGAAAAATAGTATACGAGAAAGGTGCACAAAAGGGTTCTATTAATTTTAGGGCTCCAAAACATTAAACAAAAGAGGAAAGAGATGGAATCGAAAAAAAAAAAAAATAAATAAATAAAATAAAATAAATATATAAATAAATATAATAATAGATAACTACATCCAGGAAATTATAAAACATTTTATTAATCGAAATTTTTATTATTTTATTTTTTCATGCATAACTTCATAAATAACCTTATACAACTGTCGTGTCTGGACAGACTTCAGCAATAATTCGTCTGAGTCTGGGACGAACGTAGCGAACCTGAACCAAGTGCATGTTGAGGAATACAAATAGCTAAATCTTATCCTGCAAATGGAAGGAATTACTCTCTAGAAAAAAATTTATCATCTTATCAGGATGGTGATGAAGAGTATTCTCCTGTAGATTCTCCAGACCAAGCATTATAAAATAGAGTTCATTATTCAGTGCAATTTCCACCTGCACAAGTTTGACAGAACAGTACAAATGAACCAGAAGGATTCATACTAACAGAGCCATTTGCTCATTCTAGACAGCACTAACGAGGGGTAGTGGAAAATGGCAAAATGATTAAAGTGCTTCACATTTTAATACACATTAAAAGTGACAATGTGATATTAGGCACAGATACGTACCGAGATTATTCTCGTATTGATGATGATTGTAATTGTTCAAGGTCTTATGCAAAAGGCTCTAATGAGCTATCACAGTTCATGCAAAATTTTGTAATGACTAATGGAATTATTACAAAGGTGTGACCCTTCACAGCGAGGTGGTGGGGATTGTATTAGCATTGGTAGTGGTGTGGACCTTACAAGAAATGATAAAAATAGATGACTGTTTTTTCAGTTATAAGTAAGGAGTTATTTCTATTTTGCTGTGATTTCACCGATTTGAGGACTACCAGACGGGGAGAAGTAATTATTGTATGAGCAGATACATGCATACATATGTTAACACACAATGGTGTTTTTTTTTTTTTTTTTATATTTCTGATCCCTAAGCTGTTGTTGATGTGAACAAATTACTACGCGCTTATCTTTAATTTGAAAAATTGAGATCTATGATCTAAGACTTCATCACCAGAAATGTGTTTTTTTTTTTTTTTTTTCTTCCCTCTCTTAATTAGCCTTTTTACTCATGTTATTATTGTTTTTTTGTTCTGCCAAAAAAAAAAAAAAAAATAAAAAAATAAAACTTTAAGAATATAAACAAATTTTGTTTTATTCATTTATTTATATACACACATGTGTTCATCTTTTTCTTATATAGGTATGTGAAATATTCATGAAGGAGATTATATAGCATTCTATACCAGTGGTAAGGGGAGAAATCTATCATTATTATTACTCTATTATTAATCCGCACATTTTTCTTGTTTCGAACTATTTTTATATATTTCAAAAAAAAAAAAAATATACCTATATATAATATATATATATATATATATATATATATATGGTATTACTCTTTTCCAGTGTATGCTCAAGTTTGAAGGCTCTAAAATGTATCGACGAAGGGGCGTGGTTGAAATTGTAAGGGGACGTTTGACAATATATAAGAAAAATTTCGAATGAGCGATCTATCAAGACAGACGAAACTATACAGGGTAAGAAAAAATAATCGAAAAAAAAAAAAAGGTTTATATATATTATATACAAGCCCATAAGTAAGGCAAAATCTTTACGTGAATGTTTAAAATAGAAAAATATATCCCAAAAAAAATTACACCCTCAATGGATAATGACGTGCTTAATATATATATCTCGCACACCTATATAAACCTTTACAATAGTTCACAACTACCTTAGAGCTTGTTTTTACTTCTAAACAATTTTGCATGCGAGTGTAAAAAGTATAGCAGTATTGGGGAAATATATATTTTCCATCATCACTGTTTTATTTATATATTTATTTTTATTTTTTTTTTAACAATTAGAATTTTAAGGAGCATTTTTTACTATGCAATGTAGTTAGAAAAACGCTTGTAAAGAATGAAAATAAGAAATATAGAAATCCAACAAGGATAACATAATTGAAAGAGTATAAAAAGGAAAAATAAATAAACAAAAAAAAGAGAGACAATCGTAGAACAGTTTGTTTTAATTGTACACCTAAAAATGAAGTTGGTAATTTCACTCCTTTTCATATTAGGTAATGAAGGGAAAGGGTGATAAAAAATGTCCCAAAAAATGTTATAAAAAATATGGGAAAAAAGAAAAAAAAAAAAAAATGGCAAATGAAACTAAAGAGGAGGAAGAAATACAAATTTCTTCAAAAATATTCAAAACATTTTCTAAAAATTTAACAATACTCTATTTTATACTATTTCTTTGTGCTTAATTTTGTATAGGTATTAAAACATTCGAAAATGTAATTAAGTGTGAAGAGGATAAAAATATCATTTTTAATACACCCAAAGAACATGAAGAAAATAATCTTAACATAGACAACCCTTTGGGTGATTCAGGTTCACCACCTTCTGATGATGGAACACATAAATCAGGAGATCATGTAATAGATGGAGTTGAGTTGGAGAGTGAGGATCGTAAGACTCCCGACACATGTCATACTGTAAATGAGGTATCTGGAGGGAAGGAAGAGAAACCTGTTATAGAATATCCCAGAAAAGAGATCATCACCAAATCTGTTATTCTACCGAAAGTTAAATCGTCTGCCGAAGTTGCAGCTCTAAAAAATCCAAACGCAATCGAAGTGTCATCCGCTTTGCTTAAAGACCAAGATGGGATAAAAATTACAGGATTGTGTAATGCTAGATTTCAATTATTCCTCGTTCCACATATATTAATAAATGTTGAAACGGAGAATAACAAAATTTATTTAGGAAAAAAATTTCAAGACGTGATAATTACGAAAGAGTTGCATAAAGGGATTGGCGATCCTAATGAGAGATTACAATTTGAAGAAAATCCAAATTCTTTGGTGAATAAATGTGCCAAGGGGAAAACTTTTAAATTTGTGGTATCGGTTAATGGGATGGAATTAGTTCTGAAGTGGAAGGTCTATGAAAAGGACACTTCCGAAACGAGCAGTAATAGAAAAAGAATAAATAAAATAAAAAAAAATGACAAGAAAGAGTAAAAAATGCAAAAAAATAAAAAATAAAACCAAGCAACAAAGTGGCACAATGGAACTGGTACTCCAAACCAATCGTGCAACACTTGCATTCGCTTGCGTAGAGGCATATTTGAATGCCCATATTAGTCATTTCATACGCATAATTGCTTCTACACATACATAGCTTACGAATTGTCATATCCATTTTTGAAACATTTCTCTCCTTTGCAGATGACAAGGTAGATGTGCGGACATATCTGATAAAAAATTTAGGTCACCCAATTACGGCCATACAATTACACAGCGCAAAAGGAAATAATGATTCGTTTTTATTAGAAAGTAAAATATATATTTTAAAGAATGATATTCCAGAAAAGTGTGATTTAATAGCGACAGGATGTTTTCTCAGTGGGAATATAGACATCGAAAGTTGTTACAAGTGTGCCTTATTGTTTCAGAACACAGATCCGACAAGTCCATGCTTTAATTATATCTCCCCAGATGATAAAGAAACATTTGAAGATATAAAAACAAAAGCACAGGATAAGGATGATCCACGTGAAGTTGAATTGGAAGCATCTATTTATAAAATCTTAAAAGGAGTGTACAAATTGGATACTAATGAGGAGATGGATTTGATAAATTTTAGTAAGGCAGATGCAGCTTTGAAAGAAGAATTATTAAAATATTGCAGTTTAATGAAAGAGTTGGATACCAGCGGGACTCTGGACAATTATGACCTAGGTACCGTTGAAGAAATATATATCAATTTAAAAAAACTATTAGAAGAGAATAGTGATCATGACAAAGTTGCACTAAAAAATAAATTAAAAAATGCTGCGATATGCATGAAGAATACAGAGGAGTGGGTCGGAAACAGAAAGGGACTTTTGTTACCCATTTTGTCAAACACCAAAGTAGATTCTCCTCATTACGAAGCTGCCAAAGAGGAAGAGAAAACATTAAAAACTGCAAGTTCCAATGAACAAAATAATTGTTATGATGGTGTTTTAGATTTTGTTTCAGGTGAAGAATCCAACATGCAATCCACGCATTTTACGGATTCGATGTTTTGCAATACAGAATACTGTGATAGGTGGAAAAACAAGAATGATTGTCTAGCCAAAATTGAGGTGGAAGAGCAAGGAAATTGTGCCACATCTTGGCTATTCACATCTAAGTTGCATCTAGAAACTATTAAGTGCATGAAAGGGTATGACCACGTTCCTAGTTCTGCCTTATACGTGGCTAACTGTTCACAAAAACAGGGTGATGCAAAATGCCACGCTGCCTCGAACCCGCTGGAATATTTGAACATTCTTGATGGCGAGAAGTTCTTACCATCTGCATCTGATATGCCGTATTCATACAAACTGGTGGGCGATGTCTGTCCCAAACCGATGAATCACTGGACGAACCTGTGGAATAATATCAAATTGTTAAATCATGAGAATGTTCCAAATTCTGTAGGAACAAAGGGATATACCGCTTACCAAAGTGAGCATTTCAAAAACAACATGGACGAATTTATCAAAATTGTAAAATCTGAAGTCATGAAAAAAGGTTCTGTCATCGCATATGTGAAGACTAACCAAGTGATGGATTATGACATTAATGGTAAAACGGTTCACGGCATTTGCGGAGGTGAAGTGCCTGACCTTTCTGTGAATATAATCGGGTATGGAAACTACATAAACGCTGAAGGAGTGAAAAAATCCTACTGGCTTTTACGAAACAGCTGGGGTAAGTACTGGGGAGACAACGGAAACTTCAAAGTAGACATGCATACACCTGCACACTGCCAACACAACTTCATCCACACAGCTGCTGTGTTCAATTTGGACTTACTCCCCTTCGAAACTGTATCAAAGAAGAACTCCGAACTACACAACTATTATATGAAGAATTCTCCAGATTTTTACAACAATCTTTATTATATGAATTTGGATGCAAAGGAAGGAAGCGAAAATGGCAACAATGAAAAAGCAAAGGCCCACAGTTCGATGGTTTCTGGACAGGAAGCCGAAGAAGATGTAGAATCTGATGAAACACAATCCTTATTATTGGACGAAGGAGAAGATGCTGCTCCAGTACCGGACGAACTTGCAACGGTGACTGAGTCTATCCCAGAGGATGTGCCAGAAAGGGCAAAAGAGTCAGAAGAACTAGCTGAAAAATCCATTCTTGAACCTGTTACAGAGCCCGATGCAAGAAATCCAGAACAAAGTCAGGTAGTTGTTCCACATGCAAATCCAAGAGATTCATCAAAAAGTGTGCAAGAACCACGAGCTGCAACCACACACACACACAATATCTCCATGAGTAAAATAGTACAGATAACCGAAGTAATTCACATTTTAAAACATATTAAAAATGAAAAGTTAAGATATGGAATAGTAACATACGAAGATGATACTAGTATTGCACATGATCACAATTGTTCAAGGTCATATGCAGAAGACTCCAATAAATTAGAAGAGTGCATACAATTTTGCAATGACGAATGGAACAACTGCAAAGGAGATCCATCTCCTGGATATTGCTTAGCGAAAAGGAGAAAAAAAAACGATTGCTATTTCTGTTTTGTGTAAAATGTTTTGAGTTTGTCCAGAAAAAAATAGAATAATTTTTCATTTTTAAAAAAGAGTTAACATTGCATATAGTTAAAGGGCGTGGTTAGATATTGCCTCATTTCCCTCCTTATAAGGCAAAATATGAAAGGTGCAAATTTTCGCACCTCGTCAATTGGAAGGTCAGCATTTTTAGTTTAATTTTGGACGATTGGGGAGGTGTATTTTTTTTTTTTTTTCCACTCGCACTTTTTATAGCTTTTGCAATTATTATTATTAATATTTTACGTTTTTGATTTTTTTGAATATTTTTTTGACTATTTTTTTGAATATTTTTTTAAATATTTTTTTGAACATTTTTTTGAACATTTTTTTGAATATTTTATTTATTATGAACTTGCTTGATTAAAGCCGTAAAAATCTGAGAGAACCTTAAGATCATATGATGATTTTTATTTAATTTTATTTTTGCTGTGCTAATTTTAGCTATTCATTTTTTTGAGCTCATAAGAGAGTCAACTTATTAGGGGCGCAAGACTGGGGCTCAGTTGGCTCTGCAATATCTGAGCACGCTTTGAACATTTTATTCTCATGGATGAGTCATGTGCGTGTGTGTGGAAATTCTCCAACGAATGAGCAGATGAACAGACCAGCGAATGTTCTTATACCAGCAAACATGAGCTACTTATTGTGTCCGTGAAAATGGAATTTTTTTTTTATGCACGCTTCAGAAAAGTTCAGGCGGATTACGGTGCACAGGGCGTTAATGCACAAGAGAGACTTGATCTTTCAGGAGAGGGTAGCAGCAGTAGTCTCGTTAATTTTAGCCATTATTAGAAAATAAAAAAAAAAAAATAAAATAAAATAAAATAAAGAGTGTATGTTTGTGAATATACCCAGATAGTTGCACACATGTGGAGCCATATGCATACATGCAATATGTTCGTGTATATGAGCGCACTTATCCACCATTAGGTGCATGCATGCACACACCCTTTTTGAGTTCCTACTTAAAATTTCTTTGTTAAGGAAAAGAGTGATTCATGCGTAAAAATAGAATAAAACTTTACAACATAGCAACTGAGCAACTACTATAAAAGGGAAAATTCCGAGGATAGCTCATCTCCTTGTTATGTGGCAAGATGAAGTCTCATCTGTTGTTTCTCTTTATCCTGGGTAAGTAAAGGGGAAAAGAAGAAAAAGAAAAAGAAAAGAGAAAATTTTCGCTAAAAAATTTGAAAATTATGTAAAAATGGGGTTTGTATGTTATGGGCGTTGTTTCCGACAAAGCGATACGTGTCACAGTGAAGGAAACATGCTAGATAAAATTTTTTTTTTTTTTTTTTTCTTTCAAATCTCGTTTCTGCAGGTGTTGTATTTAGCAAATATGAAATCCTAGGAGAAGGGACAGAACAAAGGGTAAGCTCTGGGGAGACTGCGTCCAGCCCTAGTGCTGATGCAGGAGGTGGAGGGTCAGGGGGAGGTCAAGCAGGTAATAGTAGCGGTGCACCGGGTAGTGTACAAGGAGGTGTACAGAATGGAGCTTCTAGCGCTACTCAAGGTGATAGAGTTACTACTTCCATGACCACGTCCCCTGCTTCTTCCCAGACAGTTGTCTCTCCTCCTAGTGGAAATGGTGAAAATCCAAGCCAACGCCATGGCAGCAGCGAGAGTGTACCCGAAACGAACGAAAATGCCATTAAGATCAACTCCTCTTTTCTAAAAAATCATACGGGCGTAAAAATCACCGGTCCGTGTTCTTCGGAATTTTTAGTTGTCCTTGTCCCGCACATATACATTGAGGTTGATGCCATTATGGATATAATTCGACTGGGACCAAAGTTAAACGATGCAGAAGGTAGAGTTGAATTTCCAGTGAATACTAATTTGAAGAATCAATGCGGTACAGGAAAAACATTTAAGTTAGTTCTTTATATTTACGATGACAAACTGACTCTCAAATGGAAAGTTTATGATGCCTCACCTGGAACGACCACCACCGGTAGGGAGAATGTTGACAATTTCAAGAGGAAATAACACTAACTCCATTTTTAATTAGAGTTATAAAGAAATAATATATATAGCATATTTTTTTTCTTTTTTTTTTGGCGAGGGGATGGGCAGTAAAGATGCTATTCGGAATATGAATACATTTTTGATGAGTGCACATTTTTTAAATGTCTAAATGTTCACCATTTTAATTCGGTTATAGAGCTTTCCGATTTTTATAAATCTATCCGTGTCTGACAAGTGTAAATAAGTGCAAATAATTTTTTTGAATTTTTTTTTTTTTTGTCTTCTGACTCTCCCTTAGACAACAAGATAGATATGCAAACGTTTATCCTAAGAAATATGGACCATCCAATAACATCTATACAGATACACAATGTTATTGAGAAAGGAAACAGCCACGTACTTGAGAGTAAAAATTACAATTTGGGAAATACCTTTCCAGGTTAGTTAACTCATTAATAGAATTTGCAAACAGAATGAAACAGTGAAAGAGTGTTGGGAGTTCTACATATTTTTTTCCATATCATCTGATTCTTTTGCATTTCCACATAAGTGATCTTGAGAGTATTACCCCTTTTATTACTCCTCTATATTACTATACAATTACTCTGACTTTATTTTTACAGAAAAATGTGCCGCATACGCTAATAACTGCTTTTTAAGCGGAATTACTGATATAGAAAAATGTTACAAGTGCACATTATTGGTGAAAGAGGTTGAAAAATCAGATGTATGTTATAACTATATTTTGAAAAAAGAAAATACAGCCAATGAAGAAGGTATATCCACTGAAGGAGAGGACGAAGATTCTAACATGCTACAGTTAGATGCATCTATTGATAGTATATTGAACCAAATTTATAATACAGGAAATAATAATGCTAAAGAGTTGATGAATATATCTGAGTTAGGAAACTCTCTAAAGGTAGAACTAACAAATTATTGCAACCTCTTAAAGGAGATAGATTCCAGTGGTGTATTGGACAATTATGAAATTGGAAATGAGACAGATGTATTCAACAATTTGTCTAAATTATTAAAAAAGCACACGAATGATAATTTTTCAACTTTAAAGGATAAAATGAAAAATGTTGCTATATGTATGAAAAATGTGAAAGAATGGGTATCAAATAAAAAGGGGTTGAAATTGCCCCAGCTGAAATATACCAAATTGGAAGACACTGCTAGCCATACGTATGACAATCCCAAACAGAGTACATGCAAAAATAAAGGGACAGATTCTAAAAATGGTGAACATGGAGCTTATGACATTGTCATTAATTTGAACCCAGCTGGGGTAGGTAGTCATCAATCTCCATCCTTTGCTGACAGCATGTACTGTAATGACATATACTGTGACAGATGGAAGGATAAGAATGGCTGTCTAGCCAAAATTGAGTCAGCAGATCAGGGCGATTGTGCAACTTCCTGGATATTTGCATCGAAGCTACATCTAGAAAGTATCAAATGCATGAAGGGGTATGACCACGTTCCTAGTTCTGCTTTATATGTGGCTAACTGTTCACAAAAAGAGGGTGATGCAAAATGTCTCGCTGCCTCGAACCCGCTGGAATTTTTGAACATTATTGATGGTGAGAAGTTCTTACCATCTGCATCTGACATGCCTTATTCATACAAACTGGTTGGTGATGCCTGCCCCAAACCGAAGCATCACTGGGCAAACCTGTGGAATAATATAAAACTTCTTGACCCCGCAAATGAACCCAATTCGTTAAGCACCAAAGGGTACACCTCTTACCAAAGTGCACAGTTTAAAGACAAAATGGACGAATTTATCAATCTGGTAAAAGCAGAAGTAATGAAAAAAGGTTCTGTCATTGCATATGTGAAAGTAGACGAGATGATGGATTACGATATTAATGGTAAGGCGGTTCACAATATTTGTGGTAGTGAAGTGCCTGACCTTGCCGTGAATATAATCGGGTATGGAAACTACATAAACGCAGAGGGAGTGAAAAAATCATACTGGATTATAAAAAATAGCTGGGGAAAGTACTGGGGTGACGAAGGAAACTTCAAAGTAGACATGGACACACCAGACCAATGTCAACATAATTTCATCCACACAGCAGCTGTGTTCAATTTAGACATACCTCAATTCGAAAGTGGTTCGAAGAAGAACTCCGAACTGAACAATTACTATTTGAATAGCTCACCAGATTTTTATAGTAATCTGTATCACAATGCTTTGGACACAGAGAAGGTTGGAGGATCAATCAGTAAAAAGGCGCATTCTAAGGACACTACCCTTTATGGTTCAAGTACTGAAGATGAAAAAGTGGAATCGCAAAAAGGAATAAATGGTTCTGATGACGTAGAGCGAAGTGTAGAATTATCTGTTACGTTAACAAGCGAAGGGACGCAACCAGAAGCGGCATCATCATCACAACCATCGCAAGGAGATTCTCCTACAGAAGGTGTAGAAAATCCAGAAGAAAAAGATGAAGATGATTCAGACGGAACAGATAGCGACGAAGCAAGCGAAGTAGAATTGGATGAGCACCCGGCTGATGAACCAAGTAAAGAGGAAGAACCCACAGCCAATAAAATCCAATTGGTACATATTTTAAAGCATATCAGCAACGGTAAGGTGAAAATGAACCTTTTGACATATGACACTGAAAATGCAATTAGCGGAGACCACTTTTGTTCAAGATCTCATTCTGTAGACCCAGAGAAGCATTCCGAGTGTGTATCATTTTGCAATGAGAAATGGGAAGAATGCAAAAGTGAGCCATCTCCAGGTTATTGCATTACTCAGAAGAAAGGAAATAATCACTGCTTTTTCTGTTTCGTTTAAAGAGGTGTGTTAATATGGTGGTAGGAGGAAAACGCTTTGAGCAATTATTTTCAATTTGCAAGAATAGTAATAATGATACTACAATTTTTGCTAATAAAAAGGACTCAGTTGGTGTTTTTTAATTTTTAAAATTTGTGAAAATGCTTTTATTTCTTGAAGCTTATTTTCCCATTCTTGCTTAGTTGCCCATTTTGTCCAAACTGGGAGGAAGTTCTGCGACAATCGTGTTATTCCTGCCTTTATTACCATTTAAAATATGGCGTTTTCTTCCTATTATTATTGCTACTATTATTTTATTTTATCTTATTTTATTTTTTTTAAATATGCTACGTTTCTCCTTTTTCTCTTTACTCAGAGTATTTTACAAAACGTAAAATAAAAAAAAAAAAAAAAAAAAAAACTTCAAGATTAAACTGTTTAACAATGGCTTTTACATTTTTTTTTGCCTTAATTGTTAAAACTAAGTTGGTGCAAATAAAATTGTGCTAGAACAAGAAAAAAAAAAAAAAAAAAAAAATATATCCTAGAATAAAGCGAAATGTAAGAAAATAGGCACGCGAAAGGGCTTACTATTTTATTCGCTGAGTGAATTTTTCCATAGTCGATTACACACACTTGTAAACTGGCTAGCGGTTATTTCCGTCAAGTTTTGCATGGTTCCGAAAAAATATCTCAATAGACCTAACAGATTGTTCATCACTTCATTGCGCCCAAAAAAAAATTGTAATTTTGTAATTTCGATTGGATTTATTATTTTATATTATTTTTAATTCTTCTTCTCATTGTTCTTCTTATTATTGTTATTTATTTCTTATTTTTTTATGAAGGAAAATGCTAGTCCAGCTATAATGCGTATATTTTAGAAAAAATTAAATTTGATTGTTCATTAAAATTGGAACTCGGCATAAGTTTTGCTAAGCTTTAAGTGTGTGTGCAAAGTGCACGATACAACCAAAAGTGTGTACAGAAGCATAAGACTTTTATCATTTTCATTTTATGTTATAAAATGAAGCTTCGAACTTACGTCCTTCTCATAACAGGTATTAATAAGAAGCAACCACATTTTAAGGGGCGATAAAAATGCTAATCAAATGATTAATACGTAGCGAAAGTATTTATCCCTTTTTACAAAGAAATGCATTACTAAAATTTTCTTTTTTTTTCTTTTCCTCCTAATGGTGTAGTATTAATGAAATAAACACTATCTTAGAAAGAAATACATCGTTACGTGTAATCTGGTAAAAACCATTTTTTCGTAGGTCTTGTATTCACAAATGGGGTAGTAAGATGTAATGCAACTACAGGTACACCAGATGGGCGTAGTGTACAAGCAAGCGATCAAAAAGGAGCTGAAGGACAAGACAGTGGAGGTGAAAGCACCCCGCCAAGTACACCTACTAGAGAAGGTTCCGAACAACCTTCGCCACAACAGTCAGCAGAACATCAAGCTAGTGAACAAGTTTCAAATGCTGTGTCTCCATCACAAGAAACCCCTGAATCCAGCTCTCAAGGTTCAGCTAATAGTAACCTAAATGGTGCAGGAACTCTTAGCACAGAACCCACCTCGGATGCACCTCCCCCCGTTACAGAAAATGCACAACCAGCTGTTACAAACCCGTTTGCAGTAAAATCAGCATTGCTGAAAGATCATAATGGGTTGAAAATTACGGGACCTTGTGATTCATATTTTCAAGTATACCTCGTGCCATACTTATACATTAATGTTAAGCCATTGGAAAGCGAAATAGAAATGGAACCTACTTTCATGAAAGTGGATGAGAAGATAAAGTTTGAGAAAGATAAAAAAAATCTCCATAACACATGTGAAAAAGGCAAAACATTTAAGCTGGTTATATTCATTTATGACGGGGTACTAACCATTAAGTGGAAAGTGTATCCTCCACAAAATGAGCAAGGTATGATAATATAAAAAATTATTTATATATAAAAAAAGTGCCCTTCATATTAATATTACTCTTTCTCCTTAAATTACAAATATATATCTGATATTACCCCTTCGTAGATACTGATAAGACATTGGACATAAGAAAATACAAAATGAGAGACAGCGGAATGCCAATAACATCACTGCAGGTTCAAGTGGTGACTAAGCAAAACGAAACATTATATGTCGAAAGCAAGAACTATTCTGTGGCGAATGACATTCCAGGTAGGTCCTACAAATAATGGAACAGAAAATTTGTAGTGCTGATTTAATGTGTTATCTATTTGTATAAACTTCTGCTAATTTTATATGCATCTCTCCTCATTCCATTTTTTTTTCATTCTTGTGCAGAAAAATGTGATGCGTTAGCGAACGATTGCTTTTTGAGCGGTATTTTGGATGTCCAAAAGTGTTATCACTGCACTTTGCTGATGCAAGAAAAACAAAATGCAAAAGAATGTTTCAAATATATTTCTCCAGAAATCAGAAACCGATTCGATGATATAAAAACAACAGGACAAGACGAAGACGAAGCGGATAAGGTTGAACTTGAAGAAACAATTGATAATATTTTGAAAAATATTTACAAGAATGAAGATGGAGAGAATAAGGAGATAAATAATTTTGATTTAGCAGATAATTCCTTAAAGCAAGAATTGATAAAATACTGCCAATTGTTGAAGCAGACAGACACGAGTGGTGTACTTGACAACCACGAGATGGCAAATGAGGAAGAGGCATTCACCAATTTGACAAATATGATAGAAATGAACAGTAATTATGATATAAATGATTTAAAAGGTAAGTTGAAGAATGTAGCCATATGCATGCATAATCCAAACGAATGGGTATCAATCAAAACAGGGATACTTCTACCAGTATTATCGCATAACCTGGGGGACGGTAAGGACATCACATTAAATACAAATAAGGAGGGAAATGATACGCTGAAGCAGGGCATGGGTAGCAGTGAAGATTTAACTACTCTCGAAAATGTGGATATTCAGCCCATAAAAGTGACAGATACGTTATTTTGTAACGATGAATATTGTGATAGAACAAAGGATACAAGTAGCTGTATGTCAAAAATTGAGACAGAAGATCAGGGAATTTGTGCTACTTCCTGGATATTTGCATCTAAGTTGCATCTAGAAAGTATCAAATGTGTAAAGGGGTATGCCCACGTTCCTAGTTCTGTTTTATATGTGGCTAACTGTTCGCAAAAAGAGAGTGATGCTAAATGTCACACTGCTTCGAACCCTCTGGAATTTTTGAACATTCTTGATGGTGAGCAGTTCTTACCATCTGCATCTGACATGCCTTATTCGTACAAACTGGTTGGCGATGTCTGTCCAAAACCGAAGCATCACTGGGTTAATCTATGGGAAAATGTCAAATTGTTAAATCATAAGAAAATGCCCAATACTGTAGGAACAAAGGGATATACTGCTTACCAAAGTGCACAGTTTAAGGACAACATGGACGAATTTATCAAAATTGTAAAATCTGAAGTAATGAAAAAAGGTTCTGTCATTGCTTACGTGAAGGCGAAAGACGTGCTAAATTACAATTTCAACGGAAAAGTGGTTCATTCTATTTGTGGTTCTGAAAAGCCAGATCTTGTAGTGAATATAATTGGATATGGAAACTACATAAATTCAGAAGGGCAGAAAAAATCTTACTGGCTTGTACGAAGCAGCTGGGGGAAGTACTGGGGTGACAAAGGAAATTTTAAAGTAGTCATGGACACACCAGACCAATGCCAACATAATTTCATCCACACTGCCGCTGTATTCAATTTGGACATACCTCAGTTTGAAATTACGGCGAATAAGGAACCAGAAATACAGCAATATTATATGAAGAATTCACCCGACTTTTACAACAACCTTTACTTCAAGAATTTTGACGCATTGAAAGCTAATAATTCAAGTAATGGAATTGGATCCCACAACAATTTTGTTATTCATGGTCAATCTGGTGAAGAAAAACCAAGCTTAGGGGATTTAGCAGGAAGTGCATTATCGTTAATAACATCATTAGCAGGAGAAGTAGCAAAAACAACGGCAGAAGCAGCTGTAGCAGCATTAAAGGTAGGAGTTGCACCAGGAGTAGGAGTTGCACCAGGAGTAGGAGTGGCACCAGCAGTAGGAGTAGCACCAGGAGTAGGAGTGGCACCAGGAGTAGGAGTAGCACCAGGAGTAGGAGTGGCACCAGGAGTAGGAGTTGCACCAGGTGTAGGAGTTGCACCAGGTGTAGGAGTTGCACCAGGTGTGGGAGTGGCACCAGGTGTGGGAGTTGCACCAGGAGTAGGAGTTGCACCAGGAGTAGGAGTTGCACCAGGAGTAGGAGTTGCACCAGGTGTGGGAGTTGCACCAGGTGTGGGAGTTGCACCAGGTGTGGGAGTTGCACCAGGAGTAGGAAATCCTACGCCGGGAGGGACAGGTTCAGTTTCCGCAGTTACACAAGAAGTCTCACCTGCTGGTGGATCACAAAGTTCAACATCAACCACGACACCAAAAGCGCCACTATCGTCAACAACAGGCACAAGCGGTGTAAACGTTACAGGAGTAACTGGAGTACTTCACTTTCTCAAGAATGTGAAAAATGGTAAAGTAAAAACTGGATTTGTGACATATGACAAGGCGACAGCCATTGGTGATGCGAAGGTTTGTTCTAGAGCCCATTCCTCAGATGTTGAAAAAATAAACGATTGTATTAAGTTTTGTGAAGATAAGTGGGATGAGTGTAAAGGTACAGTGTCACCCGGGTATTGTTTAGCTAAGAAGAAGGGAAACAATGACTGCTTCTTCTGCTTTGTGTAAAACAGTAGTGAGAGAGGTGTAAAATACGAGAAGCGTAAATGTAAATGTGTGTATGTACATATGTACGCCTTCACCCAGTGAACATTTAATTGCAATGTATTTCCAAATATAAGCAAAAAAAAAAAAAAAAAAAAAAAAAAAAAGAATGGCAATACCATAATTATACACATCAAGGTGTTCATTTTTCAACATTTTCTGTTCCATTTTAGATGAATTCTAATGTATTAGTGGTGCATATATATATATTTTCCCTTTTTTTTAAGCATTCATAAGAAGAATGTATGAGAATGAATGTACATATATACGAATTGGTCAATTCTCTGATAAAACTAAGAACATGTAATGTAACTATCTTTACAAAGTTTGGGAGCAATTTCTTTCTTATCAAAGTGTTTGTTGTATCGCTCAGTTATTAAATAGTGAGAAACGTTCATGTTATATTTTCTGGTCTTTATCTTAATTCACGTGTGTGTATAAATATTTATATGTAAATATGTACACACTCTTGTAATTACACAATTTTGAAAGATATTGGTGCCCTTTGCGAAGTTGCACAAATTTCCAAATGCACATAAGGAGAGTTCAGTTCGACACAGTTCATCTAGTTTAGTGCTTGATCAATTGTACACCTAAGAGGTGCATTTTGCATTTTTTTTTTTTTTTCGAAAAAGTTAAAAATTTGGTTTAGCTCTTACATTTACATTTAAAAAAAAAAAAAATTCTATTGTTCATTAAAATTAAAAATTGGTGAAGGCTTCGCAAAACGTTAAATGTGTATGCAAAGCGGACGATACAAGAAAAAGTGTGTAAAAAAGAACAATCCATGGGTTATTTATGCTTATCCTTATAGAACAAAATGAAGTCTTTTAGTTGTGCCCTTCTCATACTAGGTGTATATAAAAAACAAACAAATTTTTGGAATAGATGAAAATATTAATAAAATGTTGAATAAATGGAGAATGTCGTGATCCGTTTATCAAAAAAAAAAGAAAAAAAAATACATTATAAAATTTTTTTTTTTTTTTTACTTTCTTCATTCCCTACCATTGTACAATATTTGGGGAGTTAAATAACCTCATTCGATAGAATACATAATTTTGTACAATTTTATGAAAAACATATTTTTTCACAGGTCTTGTATTCACAAATGGGACAATAAGATGTAACACAAACGTGGTAACGAATACATCTTTAACTACTACAGTAGTTCAGAGTGCAGCTCAAAATAATCAAGCGGGAGGTACTCCAGGACAGCCCAGTGGTGATTCAAGTAACGAACAAACTGCAGGTGGAAGTGTAGTTACAGCACCATCTGCGTCTCAGCAATCCCAAGCGGACTCACGTAATACTCAAGAATCAACTCATGTGTCTGAACCCAATGCTCAAAATTCAGATAATAATAATCCTACTAGGGAAGTAGTTCCAGGTGAAGGAAATTCTCCAGATACAACTCCTCCTGTACCAGAGGCTGCACAACCAAGTGTCACAAACCCGTTTGCGGTCAAATCAGCATTACTAAAAGATCATAATGGGTTGAAAATTACGGGGCCTTGTAAGTCAAATTTTCAAGTATATCTAGTGCCATACTTATACATTAATGTTAATACTGAGAAAAACGAAATAGAGATGGAACCTACTTTCATGAAAGTGGATGAGAAGATCAAGTTTGAGAAAGATGAAAATAATATTCGTAACAAATGTGGTGAAAATAAAACATTTAAGTTGGTTATATTCATTTATGACGGGGTACTAACCATTAAGTGGAAGGTGTATCCTCCAAAAAATCAGGAAGGTATGATAATATAAAAAATAAAAAATTATTTATATATAAAAAAAGTGCCCTTCATATTAATATTACTCTTTCTCCTTAAATTACAAATATATATGTGATATTACCCCTTCGTAGATATTGATAAGACATTGGACATACGAAAATACAAAATGAGAGATAGCGGAATGCCAATAACATCAATGCAAGTTCTAGTGGTGACTGAGCAAAACAAAACGCTATATGTCGAGAGTAAGAATTATTCCGTGAAGAATGACATTCCAGGTATGTTTAAACTAAAAAAAGGGAGACACTAATAAATGTTCCCTACCCTGATAAGTGTACATTCTTATAAATTCAAATTAGATTAATTCATATTTTATAACATTTCATTTGCATTCTTGTGCAGAAAAATGCGATGCATTAGCTAATGATTGCTTTTTGAGCGGTATTTTGGATGTCCAAAAGTGTTATCACTGCACTTTGCTGATGCAAGAAAAACAAAATGCAAAAGAATGCTTCAAATATATTTCTCCAGAAATCAGAAACCGATTCGATGATATAAAAACGAAAGGAGAAGACGAAGACGACACGGATAAGGTTGAACTTGAAGAAGCAATTCATAATATTCTGAAAAATATTTACAAGAATGAGGGAGAAAATAAGGAAATAAATAAACTTGCTTTAGCAGATAATTCCTTAAAACAAGAATTGATAAAATACTGCCAATTGTTGAAGCAGACAGATACTAGTGGTGTACTTGACAACCACGAGATGGCAAATGAGGAAGAGGCATTCACCAATTTGACAAATATGATAGAAATGAACAGTAATTATGATATAAATGATTTAAAAGGTAAATTGAAGAATGTAGCCATATGTTTGCATGATCCAAACGAATGGGTATCAAGCAAAACGGGGCTACTGCTACCTTTATTGTCACATAATAATGTGTACAATAATATTGACATTTATAATAGTAACGAGGGCAGCACCGTAATGTTTAAGGAAGGAACAGATGGAATTAAGGATTTCACAATTCTCGAAAGTGTAGATGTGTCCCCGTCACATATGACAGACAAGCTACATTGCAATGATGAATTCTGTGATAGGACGAAGGATACAGCTAGCTGTATGTCCAAAATTGAGGTAGAAGATCATGGAGATTGTGCATTATCGTGGATATTCGCATCTAAGTTGCATTTAGAAACTATTAAGTGCATGAAAGGTTATGACCACCTTCCTAGTTCTGCCTTATACGTCGCCAACTGTTCACAAAAAGAGGGTGATGCAAAATGCCACGCTGCCTCGAACCCGCTGGAATTTTTGAATATTCTTGATGATAAGCAGTTCTTACCATCTGAATCTGACATGCCTTATTCTTACAAAATGGTTGGTGATGTCTGTCCAAAACCGAAGCATCTCTGGGTTAATCTATGGGAAAATGTCAAATTGTTAAATCATAAGAAAATGCCCAATACTGTAGGAACAAAGGGATATACCGCTTACCAATGTGAGCATTTCAAAAACAACATGGAAAATTTTATCAATATTGTAAAATCTGAAGTAATGAAAAAAGGTTCAGCCATCGCGTATGTGAAAGCAAAAGATGTTCTACATTACAACTTCAACGGAAAAGTAGTTTATTCTCTTTGCGGTGGTGAAGTGCCAGATCTTGCTGTGAATATAATCGGGTACGGAAATTACATAAACGGAGAGGGAGTGAAAAAATCCTATTGGCTTTTACGAAATAACTGGGGTAAGTACTGGGGAGACAAAGGGAATTTCAAGGTAGACATGCATACACCTGCAGACTGCCAACATAATTTCATCCACACAGTTGCTGTTTTTAATTTGGACATACCCGAAGTTACTGTTCAGACTAATAAAGACCCGGAAATACATAACTATTATATGAAAAACTCCCCAGATTTTTACAACAATCTTTTTATTAAAAAACTGGATGCAATGAAGGATAATACTTCAAGTAAAGAAAATTGTTACCATAATAATCCTGTTATTCATGGAGAATCTGATAACTTATCAAATATTCAAGAATTTGCAGGAAAAACGTTAGAGGTAATAAAGTCATTAGCAGGAGTTGCAGGAGTAGGAGCTAAAGAGGCAGCTAAAGTAGCAGTAAAAAGAGCAGTAAAAACAGTAGCAACAGTAGTAAAAGATATTGTACCAGACAAAGAAAAAAAAGGTACAGAAAAATCATCTCAAGTAGTAACAGGTGAACCAAGCGTTGCGGTAGCAGGAGGAGAAGCACAGTTATCGAATGAACAGACTGTTACAACACTTCCTGAAACTAATACATCAGAAAGTGATGCACAAGAAGCAGGTTCAGATTTGGTAGTTACACAACAAGCCTCAGCTGCTGGTGGATCACAGAATTCAGTACCAGCCACGACACCAAAAGCACCACTATCGTCAACAACGGGCACAAGCGGCGTAAACGTTAGAGCAGTAACTGGAGTACTTCACTTTCTTAAGAATGTGAAAAATGGAAAAGTGAAAAGTAGTTTAGTTACGTATAACAATGAGGCAGCCATTGGTGATGCAAAGGTTTGTTCTAGAGCCCATTCCTCAGATGTTGAAAAAATAAAAGATTGTATTAAGTTTTGTGAAGATAAGTGGGATGAGTGTAAAGATACAGTGTCTCCTGGTTACTGCTTAGCTAAGAAGAAGGGAAATAATGACTGTTTCTTCTGTTTTGTGTAAATATAAGTAGTGAGAGAGGTGTAAAATACGAGAAGCGTAAATATATACCAGATTCTGGCACTGATGAATGAGCATTGACATCTTTCCAAACACAAGAAAAATAAAAAAGTTGCAATATCATATTAATACATGCCAATGTGTTCTCTCTTTGCTTATTTTCCATTTCTCTTTAGATGAATTCTAATGTATTAGTAGTGTATATGTATATATAATTTTTTTTTTTTTTTTTGCCTTTTTTTACACATTTATAAGGAAAATGCATGATCATGAGAGCAAATATATAAGAATTTATAAATTCTCTGATAAAACTAAGAAAATGTGACGAAACTAACTTTACGAAGTTGGGGTGCAAAATTTTTCTTTTCGAAGGTTTTGTTGTGTCAATTGTTAAAGAATGCAAAACGTTCAATTTATTTTTTCTGTTTTTTTTGTACAAGGCATATGTGTGTAAAATATTAATATGTGCATAAGTGCACACTCTTGTGTTATTGCGTGATTGCAATATACTGGTATTATTTGTGAAATTGCACAATTTTCCAAACATACAAGATAGATCATTTCGACCCATTTGATCTAAAATTAGCACTTGATTAATTGCACCCAAGAAGTGCATTTTGCATTTTTTTTTTTTTTCGAAAAAGTTAAAAATTTGGTTGTACCTTACATTTACATTTTAAAAAAAAAAAAATTTTATTATTCATTAAAATTGAAAATTTGGTGAAGGCTTCGCAAAACGTTAAATGTGTATGCAAAGCGGATGATACAACAAAAAATGTGCAAACAAGGACAACCCATGTGTTATTTATGTTTATCCATATAGAACAAAATGAAGTCTTTTAGTTGTGTCCTTCTCATACTAGGTGTGCATAAAAAAACAATAGAATTTTTTCAGGCAATGAAAATATTAATCAAATGCTTAATAAGTAGCTAAAGTAGTTACTCATTTCGCCTTAAAAATACATCACGAAATAGTGTTTTTCTCATTTTTTCTCTTATCTTCACAAATGTGTAATATTGGTGAAATAAATATATTCTTAAAAAAAAATATATCATTAGGTATTATATCGTAAAAAATCATTTTTCGCAGGTCTTGTGTTCACAAGTCAAGCGGTAAGATGCACTTCATCTTCGGGTACTGAGGCATCCTCAAGCAGTTCAGGACCTCAAAGCGTCTCTCAAAGTGGTACAGGAGGGGATACTCCAGGTAAACCCAGTACAGATTCTAGCTCCGATCAAAATAAGGTTACAGAAGTAAGTGCACAGGCATCCCCGAATCAGCCAGGAAGTCAAGCGACTATTCAAACAACACCAAGTCCTGTGGTTCAACCAGTAACTACTCCTGATTCCTCCGTATCAGGTAGCAATGTCATTGCTGGCGCTCCAGCTGCACCATCACCAGAGCCCACTGCAGAAGTTCCCTCAGATGCAACTTCCACAACAATTGAGACTACACAACCAAGTGTCACAAACCCGTTTGCAGTAAAATCAGCATTATTAAAAGATCATAATGGGTTGAAAATTACGGGGCCTTGTAAGTCAAATTTTCAAGTATACCTCGTGCCATACTTATACATTAATGTTAATGCATTGGAAAGTGAAATAGAAATGGAACCTACATTCATGAAAGTGGATGAAAAGATCAAGTTTGAGAAAGATAAAAAAAATATTCATAACAAATGTGGTGAAAATAAAACATTTAAGCTGGTTATATTCATTTATGACGGGGTACTAACCATTAAGTGGAAAGTGTATCCTCCAAAAAGTGAGGGAGGTAAGATTATATAAAAAATAAAAAATTATTTATATATAAAAAAAGTGCCCTTCATATTAATATTACTTTTTCTCCTTAAAATACAAATATATATGTGATATTACCCCTTCGTAGATACTGATAAGACATTGGACATAAGAAAATACAAAATGAGAGACAGTGGAATGCCAATAACATCAATGCAGGTTCAAGTGGTGACTAAGCAAAACGAAACATTATATGTCGAAAGCAAGAACTATTCCGTGAAGAATGACATTCCAGGTATGTTTAAACTAAAAAAAGGCAGACACTAATAAATGTTTCCTACCTTAATAGGTGCACATTCTTATAAATTAAAATGAGATTTATTCACATTTCATATAATTTCTTTTGCATTTTTGTGCAGAAAAATGCGATGCTTTAGCTAATGATTGTTTTTTGAGCGGTATTTTGGATGTCCAAAAGTGTTATCATTGCACTTTATTGATGCAAGAAAAGCAAAAGGCAGAGGAATGTTTCAAATACATTTCTCCAGAAATCAGAAATCGATTCGATGAAATAAAAACAACAGGACAAGACGAAGACGAAGCGGATAAGGTTGAACTTGAAGAAACAATTGATAATATTTTGAAAAATATTTACAAGAATGAAGATGGAGAAAATAAGTTGAAAAATAATTTTGATTTAGCAGATAATTCCTTAAAGCAAGAATTAATAAAATACTGCAAATTGTTGAAGCAAACAGATACTAGTGGTGTACTTGACAACCACCAAATGGCAAATGAGGAAGAGGCATTCACCAATTTGACAAATATGATAGAAATAAGCAGTAACTACAATATAAATGATTTAAAAGGTAAGTTGAAGAATGTGGCCATATGCATGCATAATCCAGACGAATGGGTGGCCAGCAAAATTGGGCTAGATTTTCCTATCTTATTAGAAAAAAATTCAGATAATCTCACTAATATCATAGAAAATAAGTCAATTCAAAAGGATGATATGCAAGAAGGAGAAAATGGAATTATGGACTTGACAACTCCCGAAACTGTAGATGTGTCCCCTTTACATATTACAGACAAGATCTTGTGCAATGATGAATATTGTGATAGAACGAAGGATACAAGTAGCTGTCTGCCCAAAATTGAGGCAGAAGATCAAGGAATTTGTGCAACATCATGGATATTCGCATCTAAGTTGCATTTAGAAACTATTAAGTGCATGAAAGGGTATGACCACGTTTCGGGTTCTGCTTTATTTGTGGCTAACTGTTCACAAAAAGAGGGTGCTGCAAAATGCCACGCTGCTTCCCACCCGCTTGAATTTTTGAACACCGTTGTTGGAAATCAGTTCTTACCATCTTCATCTGACATGCCTTATTCATACAAACTGGTTGGCAATGTCTGCCCCAAACCGAAGAATCATTGGACGAACCTGTGGAATAATATCAAATTGTTAAATCATGAGAATGTTCCAAATTCTGTAGGCACAAAGGGATATACCGCTTACCAAAGTGAGCAGTTCAAAAACAACATGGTTGAATTTATGAAAATAGTAAAAGGAGAAATAATGACAAAAGGTTCAGCCATCGCGTATGTGAAAGCAAAAGATGTTTTATATTACAATTTCAACGGAAAAGTGGTTCATTCTATTTGTGGTTCTGAAAAGCCAGATCTTGCAGTGAATATAATTGGATATGGAAACTACATAAATTCAGAAGGGCAGAAAAAATCTTACTGGCTTGTACGAAACAGCTGGGGGAAGTACTGGGGTGACAAGGGAAACTTCAAAGTAGACATGGACACACCAGACCAATGCCAACACAATTTCATACATACAGCAGCTGTGTTCAATTTGGACATACCTCAGATTGAAATTACTGAGAATAAGGGACCAGAAATACAGCAATATTATATGAAGAATTCTCCCGACTTTTACAACAATCTTTATTATAAGAATTTTGACGCATTGAAGGCTAATAATTCAAGTAACGGAAATGGATCCTACAACAATTCTGTTATTCAAGGTCAATCTGATGTAGAAGGATCATCAGAAAAAACAAGCTTAACAAATTCAGCAATAGATTTATTTTCATCGATTGTATCAACGGCTGCGTCAGCCGCCTTGTCGACAGCAAAGGTAGCAGCGGAACTAGTGACAGGAGAACAAACAAGGGAACAAGTAGGTACTGCGACGGAAGGTACAGTAGCAGCATCAGGGGGAGCGTCAGGAGGATCTGGAAATTCTGAAACATCAGTAACACCATCAAGAGGAGAATCACCTGAAGGAGATACAGGATCACAAACAGTCCTGTCGACAGGAACAGGTCAAACTGCTCAGGAAACTACTGATAGGAATATAGCATCAGCAAGTGATACAACAACAAGTAACTCACAATCTACACAAGTATCTGCCCCAGCAGCAAAAGCTCCACTGTCTTCGCTCAAGGGTACAAAAGGTGTAAACGTTGAAAGAATAACTGGAGTACTCCATTTTCTCAAAAATGTGAAAAATGGAAAAGTAAAAGGTAGTTTAGTTACTTATGATAATGGAAATGCTATTGGTGATGAGAAGGTTTGTTCTAGAGCCCATTCCTCAGACGTTGACAAAATTGATGAGTGTATTAAATTTTGTGAAAATAATTGGAGCGCCTGCAAGGGTACTGTGTCACCTGGATACTGCTTAGCTAAGAAGAAGGGAAATAATGACTGCTTCTTTTGCTTTGTGTAAATATAAGTAGTGAAAATATAAGTTGGGGCAAATATATACATTTGTGTGTATAACATAAATGTATTTTTTCTCAGGAATGAGGAATGATACATGTTAAATTGGAACAAAAATTAGAGAATGCAAGTACCATATTTATGTATGCCGAGGTGGTTTTTTTTTTTTTTTTTTTTTTTTTTTGCATATTTTCCATTTCATTTTAGATAAATTCTAGCATGTTAATAATATAATTTTTTTTTTTTTTTTTTTTTTTATTTTTATCAAAAATGTGTAAGAGTGAAAATGCATATATAAGTATGAATAATTTATCTGCCAAAACTAAGAACATATAATGTAACTAACTTTATAAGGTTAAATTGGCAATGTAAAAAAATTGTTTATCAAATGATCTGACGTGCGGACCAATTATTTCTAAATGTGTAACTCTCAATTTATTCTTATTCATCTTTTTCGTAATTAGCACCGTGTACACACGATCGTTCTTGTACACACTTAAAATCGTTAGGTGCTATTCGTGAAATTGCAAAAATTTCAAAATGCACACGAAGAGAGTTCAGTCTACTTTGGTTCAGTTGAACTGATACTCGTTTTACCGAAGCTAAGAAGAGTCTTTTATTTTATTATTATTTTTTTTTTTGTAAAAGTAAAATAATGATTTAGTTGCAACACATGCACTTTAAAAAGGAAAAAATTAGTTTTTCATTATTGTTAAACCTTGGTATGCACTTTCGCAAAACATAAAACGTGAATCCAACTTGCATGACATAACCAAATGTGTGTAAAGAAGAATAATCATTAGGTAACGTTTCTTTACCCTTATGGAAAACAATGAAGTCTCATTCTTGTATCCTTCTCATAATATGTAAGAATGAAATGTAGTAAAATAAGGGGAGTGATTAAATATGTAACAAAAATTGTCAAAGTACTAAGCAAAAAAATAAATAAAATGAAGCATAAGATGATGGGCCATATATTTGTTTCACACATGTGTTGTATTTGTAAAAAATTCATTTATTCATGTGCAAAACAACACTTTTACATAATATCTCTTTTTAATCATTCCTATTTCAGATATTTTGTTCAGTAGAAATGTAATAAAGTGTGAAACACCTACTCAAGAATCTTCAACTCTAACTGGTTCAGGCCCTGCAGCAGCTCCAGGTTCTAATCCAAATGTTCAAGTTTCCGCTGACACTACTACAGATGTTGCACTTACAAGTGAAAGACAGCAAGAAGCAGGTGCACAAGCGAATCCTCCGCAATCTTCAAACGTGGCAGTTACCAGTGTACAAACTGATCAACCAGTAGTGAATGTTGAAAATCAACAAACACAAGAACCATCACCTCCTAATAATCAGCAAAATGGGGACTCAGGAGTACCTGCTCCGAACACCTCTCCACTAAGCACTCCGACTGAGTCTGTCCCCTCAGAAGTTGTTCAAACCCCAACTTTGACAAATCCGTTTGCAGTAAAATCAGCATTGCTGAAAGATCATAATGGGTTGAAAATTACGGGTCCTTGTGAGTCACATTTTCAAGTATACCTCGTGCCATACTTATACATTAATGTTAATGCAGCAAAGAGCGAAATAGAAATGGAACAACGTTCATGAAAGTGGATGAAAAGATCAAGTTTGAGAAAGATAAAAATAATATTCGTAACAAATGTGAAAAAGGCAAAACATTTAAGCTGGTTATATTCATTTATGACGGGGTATTAACCATGAAGTGGAAAGTGTATCCTCCAAAAAGTGAGGGAGGTAAGATTAAATAAAATATTGATCACTAAAAAACATACTTACTATCATCAACATACATATATTTACACACATCCATTTTGATTTATACATACAGACAAAATTTTGGACATACGTAAATACAAAATGAGAGACAGCGGAATGCCAATAACATCAATGCAAGTTCTAGTGATGACTGAGCAAAACAAAACCTTATATGTCGAAAGCAAGAACTATTCCGTGAAGAATGACATTCCAGGTAGGTCCTACAAATAATGGAGCAGAAATTTTGTAGTGCTGATTCAATGTGTTATCTATTTGTATAAACTTCTGCTAATTTTACATGAATTTCACTTAATTTCATTTTTTTTTCATTCTTGTGCAGAAAAATGTGATGCGTTAGCGAACGATTGCTTTTTGAGCGGTATTTTGGATGTCCAAAATTGTTATCATTGCACTTTATTGATGCAAGAAAAACAAAATGCAGAAGAATGCTTCAAATACATTTCTCCAGAAATCAGAAATCGATTTGATGATATAAAAACAACAGGACAAGACGAAGACGACGCAGATAAGGTTGAACTTGAAGAAACAATTGATAATATTTTGAAAAATATTTACAAGAATGAAGATGGAGAAAATAAGTTGATAAATAAACTTGCTTTAGCAGATAATTTCTTAAAACAAGAATTATTAAAATACTGCAAACTGTTGAAGGAGACAGACACGAGTGGTACATTTGACAACCACGAGATGGCTAATGAAGAAGAAGTATTCACCAATTTGACAAATATGATAGAAATGAACAGTAATTATGATACAAATGATTTAAAAGGTAAATTGAAGAATGTAGCCATATGCATGCATAATCCAAACGAATGGGTATCAAGCAAAACGGGTCTACTGCTACCAGTACTATCGCATAATCACAGTCACGGTAAGTTTTACAACTATGACAATAACAAAGGAAGTACCGTAATGTTTAAGGAAGGAACAGATGGAATTAAGGATTTCACAATTCTCGAAAGTGTAGATGTGTCCCCGTCACATATGACAGACAAGCTGCATTGCAATGATGAATTCTGTGATAGGACAAAGGATACAACTAGCTGTATGTCTAAAATTGAGGCAGAAGATCAAGGAAATTGTGCATTATCGTGGATATTCGCATCTAAGTTTCATCTAGAAAGTACCAAATGTATGAAGGGGTATAAACATGTTCCTAGTTCTGCTTTATATGTGGCTAACTGTTCAAGCAAAGGAGAATCCAAATGCCACTCTGCATCTAACCCATTGGAATTTTTGAACACTGTTGATGGAAATCAGTTCTTACCTTCTGCATCTGACATGCCTTATTCGTACAAACTGGTTGGCAATGTCTGCCCCAAACCGAAGAATCATTGGACGAACCTGTGGAATAATATCAAATTGTTAAATCATGAGAATGTTCCAAATTCGGTAGGCACAAAGGGATATACCGCTTACCAAAGTGAGCATTTCAAAAACAACATGGACGAATTTATCAAAATTGTAAAATCTGAAATCATGAAAAAAGGTTCTGTCATTGCTTACGTGAAGGCGAAAGACGTGCTAAATTACAACTTTAACGGAAAAGTGGTTCATTTTATTTGTGGTGCTGAAGAGCCTGACCTTGCCGTGAATTTAATTGGATATGGAAACTACATAAACGGAGAGGGACAGAAAAAATCCTATTGGCTTTTACGAAATAGCTGGGGGAAGTACTGGGGTGACAAAGGAAATTTCAAAGTAGACATGGTCACACCAGACCACTGTCAACACAATTTCATACACACAGCAGCTGTGTTTAATTTGGACATACCTCAGATTGAAATTACTTCGAATAAAGGACCACAAATACACAATTATTATATGAAAAACTCCCCAGATTTTTACAACAACCTTTACTTCCAGAATTTTCCTGCAGTCACAGCTAATGATACAACTGATAAAAATGAATCAAATAACGACTCACTCATTTTTGGTGAATCAGATAAGGGGATATCCCTGCCAGAAGTAGGAGATGGAGATGCACAACCTAAAGGGCAAGAAGAAGTATTAGAAGTAGAAGGTGCATCAACAGGTGTACGAGGAGGGGCAGAAGTACCAGTTGAGGAACCAGCACCAAGAGGAGAGGGGACAGAAACATCGATATCGACAGGTGTAAGCACATCACGAGAGGTGGGAGATGGACCTGAAACAGCTCCAGCAGTAGTACCTGGTAGTGATGGTTCACAATCAGTGTCAGTGGATACTACACAAAGTACTACTCCAAGTGCCACAGGCGTCAATGCAACTACAAAATCAGTTAATGGTTCTTCAGCAGAAACGATTTCAGAGCAAACAGATAGCCAAGAAGCTTCACCCACTAGGACACCAACAGCAGCATCGCCAGCAGAAACAACTCTAGCAGCTCCATCAACAGCAGAAACAATACCAGTAGTAACTACACCAGTAGTAACACTACCAGCAACATCGTCATCACCAGAATCACCAGCATCGCCAGCAGCACCTATACCCAAGGCACCACTATCGTCAACAACAGGCACAAGCGGTGTAAACGTTACAGGAGTAACTGGAGTACTTCACTTTCTCAAGAATGTGAAAAATGGTAAAGTGAAAAGTAGTTTAGTTACTTATAACAATAAGGCTGCCATTGGTGATGCAAAAGTCTGTTCTAGAGCCCATTCCTCAGATGTTGAAAAAATAAAAGATTGTATTAAGTTTTGTGAAGATAAGTGGGATGAGTGTAAAGGTACAGTGTCACCCGGGTATTGTTTAGCTAAGAAGAAGGGAAACAATGACTGCTTCTTCTGCTTTGTGTAAAACAGTAGTGAGAGAGGTGTAAAATACGAGAAGCGTAAATGTATATGTATGTATACATTTTCTTTCGCTCAAGAATGAGTTTTAAAATATTCTTTTTTAGTTGAAAATAAAATTAAAAAATATGCATAATACTTTTATGTTAAGGTATTTTTCCTTTTACATATTTTTTTGATGCGTATATATTTTTTATATGGCCTTAGATGAGTTCTAAACGAAATAAAACACTTTGAGCATTGCTATTCCACGGCACAATTTTTTTATCTCTGCTTAATCTCCATTTTAATTCTCCAACTATGCAAAATTTCTCTTTAAAAAATTTGCATGCATATATATTAATACATAAAGGAAGAAGTATTGCATGTACAATTTACAAGTGTGTAACATGCGAGTAATTATATTTTTTCACTAATTAGTGCATATGTGTGTAGTGCACTAATGCTATCATCGGCTCCCTTAAATAGCCATAAGTACCGCTTAGGAATTCAAAATGTTCTAGATTGAAAACTAGCCTAAATTGCATTACAGATCGGTATGCTGAACTAGGATAAAAAAATTAAAATAAAAAGAAAGATCTTTTTTTCTTTTTCTAATTAAAGCAAAACATTAGTCTAGGTACAATTTGTAAATATGAAAAAAAAATAATAATAATAAAACTTCGTTCTTTTATTTCAGATTCAAATTTTGATGTATTTTTAAAAGTACACTTATGTAAAAAAGAGGTGTAAGGTACGACAAAAAAAATAAAAAAAAAAGTGTGAATAGTACGAGTCCTTAGAACATTTTTACTCTCCCTAATGCAAACAAAATGAAGTCTCGTCTGTACGCCCTTATTTTAATATGTAAGTTAAGAAATTACAAGGGAAACAAAAATGTGCTCCCTAAAAAATAAAAAAATGCAACCACTAAAGTTGTAATACATATGGTGAAAATGTTAAAAAAAAAAGGTCAAAAAAATGGAAATATGACAATATACTTTATTTTCCCTAAAATGATAACATTTTGTAGAGGAAAAATATATTATTCAAAGGAACATATTTCATTTCTTTCCTTTTATGTTTATAATATATGTATGCAGGTGTTATATTTAATGAGACCGTAATAATAAAAACAGAGACTACTGATAATCCAGCATCATCTGATTCTTCCACACCTGGCCCCGCATCACCACCTGGCCCTCCATCACCATCTGGCCCTCCATCACATTCTGGCTCTCCACCATCATCTGATCCTTCAACCCAAACAGAATCTTTACCACAAAGTGATATACCTAATTCTGCCGAAAATCAAGTTGGTGTATCCCACGTATCATCGAATGATTTAAAAACACCTTCAGGTAATGCAGCCCCAAACAGTCCTGCTGATTCAGATACAACATTGGAAACCGCAGATCAAGGGCCAAGTCAAGGTAAACATGAAGGTCCAGCTAAACCTCTTGATGAAGCAGTAGAAACGGTTAGTGAATCCTCAACCCTATCTCAACCAGGAAGTTCTGGAAATGAAACAGAAGGATCTGAATCCACTAGTACTTCTTCTGTTACGACTCCCAACAAAATTCAGATAAAATCTGCCCTGTTAAAAGATTTCAATGGAGTAAAGGTTACTGGTCTGTGTGGTGCAATTTTTGATTTGACTCTCGTCCCTCACATATCAATTACTGTAGATACAGATGAAAATATCATTAAATTGAGGCCTAAATTTCAAAAATTGATTGATGAAGAAACCTCAACAACAGCAGGAATAGCGAAACTTTATAATGCTGTGCATTTTGAGGAGAACCCAGAAAATTTAATAAACAAATGTGATAAGGAGAATAAAAAGGATCAGACTTTTAAATTTGTAGTTTTTTATGACGAGGAGGAATTGACTCTTAAGTGGAAAGTGTACGATAATTTTGCCACGGGAAATACAAGTAATAAGAGAAAGAGATACACATTGCACATGTGTATCTAGGGAATTAACATTAAATATCATAAAATGATAAATCAAATGCAGAAAGTGTAGAAGCACAATTTGGAAATATATCTTCCCTTAGCTTATGAAACAATTATAAAATTCTATATTCTAATATTCCATCGTTTACTTCATAATTTTTTATCACATCTACAATTAGACATGAAACAGTGTAAACATGTATGCGAATTTTTTTTTCTTTTTTTTGTTTTCCTCCCTATTTCTATGAACAGATAAAGAAGTGGATGTGAGAAAATTTCTCATAAAAAATTTAGATCGTCCATTTACAACTATTCAAGTGCACGCAGCAAAAGTAAATGAGGATACCATTTTAGTTGAAAGCAAAAGTTACTACTTCAAGAGTAACATTCCAGGTTAGCTTAAAAGAAGAGGAGAGTTAAAAAGAAATGCATATTTATTTCCCATTCTGTTATGTGCATTATATGATTCATTACCACATAAATTCCTTTCCCACATTCTCCATTTGACTAACAGAAAAGTGTGATGTGATAGCGACTGATTGTTACCTAAACGGAAATGTGAATATTGAAAAATGTTTTCAGTGTACATTGTTAGTACAAAACAATGACGCATCGAATGAATGTTTCAAGTATGTCTCTTCTGAGATTACAGATAAATTTAATCATATAAAAGTGAATGCACAAGATGAAGACGATTCAAATGAAGTTGAATTGAAGGCATCAATTGATAAAATCTTGGAAGGATTATATAAATATGGAGAAAATAATAAGAAATATTTGATAAATTTGGATGAAGTAGATGTATCTTTGAAATCAGAACTATTAAAATTTTGCACTCTCCTGAAAAATACAGATTCCAGTGGGGCTTTAGAAAATTACACATTAGGAAACGCAGAAGACATATTTACCAATTTAACAAACATATTGAAAAAAAACACAGATGAGACAAAATCTGCAATACAGACTAAACTAAAAAATGTTTCAATATGTATGAAAAATGTTGATGAATGGATTCAAAACAAAAAGGGGTTGCAAATTCCCACTTTATCACACACAAGCGAAGAATTTACTAATTCCACGATTACCAAGGAAGAAGAGGGAAAAACGGTTAATTACAATACAAAAATAGTACGTGCACAAAATAGTTCTTATGATGATGTTATTAATCTGGTATCAGCTGAAGAGAGAAAAAACTACAACGTGATTATTGAAGATACCATGTACTGCAATGATGAGTATTGTGATAGATGGAAAGACGACAGTAGCTGTATTTCCAAGATTGAGGCAGAAGATCAGGGAAATTGTGCTACTTCTTGGTTATTCGCATCTAAATTGCATTTAGAAACTATTAAGTGCATGAAAGGGTATGACCACGTTCCTACATCTGCCTTATACGTAGCTAACTGTTCGCATAAAAAAGGGAAGGAAAAATGCAACACGGCTTCTAGTCCGTTGGAATTTTTGAAAATTCTTGATGGTGAGCAGTTCTTACCATCTTCATCAGACATGCCATATTCGTACAAGCTGGTTGGCGATGTCTGCCCCAAACCGAAACATCACTGGACGAACCTGTGGAATAACATTAAACTTCTAGAACCCACATATAAACCCAACTCGCTAAGTGCAAAGGGATACATCTCTTATCAAAGTGATAAGTTTAAGAACAACATAGACCAATTTATCAATCTCGTAAAATCCGAAGTAATGAAAAAAGGTTCTGTCATTGGATATGTAAAGTCTGACGAAGTGATGGATTATTTTCTTAACGGAAAGAAAGTACTTAATCTTTGTGGAGACAAAACAGCTGATCACGCGTTAAACATAATCGGGTATGGAAACTACATAAACGGAGAGGGCGTGAAAAAATCCTATTGGCTTCTACGAAACAGTTGGGGTAAGTACTGGGGAGACAATGGAAATTTCAAAGTGGACATGCATACACCTGTACACTGCCAACACAATTTCATCCACACAGCTGCTGTGTTCAATTTGGACATACCTCCCTTCGAAACTGGTTCGAAGAAGAACTCGGAACTGAACAATTACTATTTGAATAGTTCACCGGATTTTTATAGCAATCTTTACTACAACAACTTTGGCGCTAAAAGTAGGGGTACTAAGATCAGTGAAAAAGATTTGGTTGGAAATTCCTTGTTTTATGGACAAGAAGATGGTGAAAAGGTGGAACCTAAAAAGGAAGGAGGTGATTCATCCGAATTAAAGGCAGGGGTAACACCATCCGGCGAAGCAGATGCAGCGGTAGGGCAAGGAGCACAAGTAGATGCAGCTCAGAAAGGAAATGATCAAGTGTCATCGGGTAATGATGCGGCACAAGTGGCTCCAACACAGCCATCTGATTCAGTAGCATCATCTCCATCTGAAGAACAAGGAACCCCTCCTGTAACAACAGCATTCGGTCCTGTAGTAACACCCACCGATCCTTCAGTAAGACTAACGAGTCCTGCAGACACACCAACCGATCCTGTGGTAGCACCAACTCAGAATGATGCAGTGCAAACCCAACATGAAGTTCACAAAATAGCAGGTACCCACCTTAAGAATTCTAACAAGATAATCCAAGTGCTTCATATTTTAAAACACATTAAACATGGAAACGTAAAAACGGGCCTCATTACATACAAATTGAATGAAGCAATGAACACAGAGCATGTTTGTTCACGATCTTCTTCAAATTACCCCGAGAAGCAAGAAGAGTGCATAAAGTTTTGTGATGATCACTGGAATGAATGCAAAGATAAAATTTCACCTGCATATTGTTTAACAAAAAAGAGAGGAAACAATGATTGCTTTTTCTGTTATATTTAAAAGGGGATTATCTGATATTTTCAAAATGAAAGCTAATTTATGATTTGAGAGGTGCGAAAAATGTTGTTTTTTTTTTTTTTTTTTTGAGGAACAGAACAAAACTAATGACCTAAATATTGAAAAGGTTATAATGTTTTGGTATTGCTTTTAGTTTTTTTTTTATTATTTTTAATGTGTTCCTTATATTCACATGTGTGTATAAATTTAATGATAACATCGATTTGTTCTAACATGAGAGAACATTGTATTGGTCACCTATTTTCCGTAGCATTTTTTTCCGAAATATCGTCATTGCATGTGGTGTGTTTTTCATCCATATCACTTATCGAAATTGCTTTAATGAAAATAAATAAACAATTAATAAACAATTGAGGTGTTCAATTTTTCTTAAAGTATTTTTTAAAACTTGGATAATACGAATTGAGAAGTTTTAAATATTATTCCAAAGTGAAAAAGAAAAAATATATACAATGTTTCCATAAGGTATAACAAGGGAATAAGTGCATTTGTTTATACATGAGTGTAATTTTTCCTTTTCGGAGCTCATGTGTACACATTCTTAAACCACACACAAATGGTTTTCCATCCTAATGAATTGTGAAACCTGCCAAAAGGGGTGTAAATAGAAAGGTCATAAATGCCTTGCTTATTAAATGAAAGAAATTTTTTTTTTTTCACTATTTCGTTTTATTATTTCGTTTTCTGATACTTGATTTTTTGCCATTTCATTTTTATTCTTACTTTTTTTTTTTTCTTATTTTATTTTTCTCGTATACCAGAAAGGTACAACCCATCGGTTGCATTTAAAACACACATTAACACATTTGTAGCCTTACTAGAACAAAACTTTGAACACACAATTCAGCATAAATTAAAAAAATGCCTTGTACGATAAAAAACGCACCAAAAATTGGAAATCACATTTAGATCATTTTTTACTTTACCTGTGTGCAACCACCAAGATGAGGTTTCTTATTCTTTTCTTCCTCGCAATATGTAAGGAGAAAAAGGGAGCGATAGAAAGAGAGAGAGATACATATCAAGCTGAGCTTAATGAGGAAGAAGAGGAAAGAGAAAGTTGTTATGAACGTCAAAGACATTGAAAACTTTTTTGCAAAATATAAAAATGGAAAGCTAGTTAAGTAGTGAAATGGTGGTGATGACTTCATATCCATTAAATTAATCGATTTGCAAAAATAAAAAATAATAATAAAATTACACTGTCGTAATACAAATTTGTATTTTTAATTTGTTTATATTGTTACTTATGCAGGTGCGATATTTAGTAGCTGCCCAGTTGACTACGGGGTAAATGGAACCAATCAATCTGCTGGTTCTTCTGAAGGTGGCCGTTCGGGACAAGATTCTTCATCTTCTTCATCTTCTTCATCTTCTTCATCTTCTTCAACTTCTTCAGCTCCCCCAACCCCCACAACTACTCCAACTCCTACAACTCCTCCAGGTGGAGATGGAGTTGCTGGTAACCCCCCTGGGAGTGGTACATCTCAAACTGGAGAACAAGTAACGAGTACAAGGACCCAAAACCATCAAGAATCAAACAATGAAACTTTAGAATCAGAGATGGATATTATAGAATTAGATGATGAAGATGAAGTAACTACAAAAGCTCCTATAGTTCCTGCTAATGTTGTTGAGCCTAATCCAAATGAAGATAAGGAAAATAAAATTCTAATAACATCTGCTTTGTTGAAAAATCAAAGTGGAGTGAAGGTCACAGGACCATGTAATGCCGATTTTCAATTGTTCCTTGTTCCGCATATCATCATCCATGTTGAATCAGCAAAAGACCACATTGAGCTGAGATCAAAATGGGATGAAGTAGAAAATAAAAAGCAGCCAAAAACTAAAGACCGATCACGCACAGAATTAAAAAGAGGCATAGATTTTAAACAAGAGAATGAAAGTTTAGAGAATAACTGTGCCAATGGAAAAACGTTCAAATTTGTTTTGTATGTCCACGAGGATCAGTTAACCATTAAGTGGAAGGTCTATGACAATTCTTCCACAGTAACAGATAGTAAGTAAAGCGTTCGCATCAAAATGAACTCCATCTATACCCTCACATAATCCTCTTTCACAATAATCAATTGATAGAACATATACATATGTATTCATCACACGTTTATGTGCACTTAGTGCAATTTTCCATCTAGTGCAACTAACTAATTCACATTTTGTGTTTCATTCCTTTTCTCCCATTTTAGATAAAACGGTTGATATTAGAAAATATCTACTCAAAAATTTAAGCAGACCAATCACGACAATACATATACACAGTTCTAGTATAAATAAGACCACGTTATTACTCGAGAGCAAAAGTTACACCTTGGGAAAGAACATCCCAGGTTAGACACAAAAATAAAATAAAAGAAGAAAATTTGGCTATAAGGAATAAATTAGTTACATCCCCTCATTTTAAGGCTACCAAAGAGATTACTTCAGTGGGTTGTGCATATACACATTATCATGAATTTGTAAAGCTTCACACGTACAATCCTAATTATTTCCCCCTCAACATTACACACTTTGTACCTTTTCGTCCGTTTTTTTATTTTTCTCTTAACTACTACAGAACAATGTGACGCTATAGCAACCAATTGCTTCCTCAATGGAGTATTAGACGTGGAAAAATGCTATCATTGCACTTTGCTGGTTGAGAATAAAGACCCTTCCAATGTATGTTTTAAGTATGCATCTGAGGATATAAAAGAAAAGTTTAACGAAATAAAAGTTAACGCACAAGATGATGAAGAGTCTGATGAATACAAACTTGTTCAATTCGTTGAGGATATTCTAAAAGGGATATATAAAATGGATGAAAATGGAAATAAGAAACTAATTAATGAGGATGAATTAAATGAAACCTTGAAAGAGCAATTGACAAATTATTGCCAATTTCTCAAAGAGGTAGATACAAGTGGTACCTTGCAAGTTCACCAATTAGGAATTGAAACAGACATATTTAATAATCTTGTAAAACTTTTACAAAAAAATACTGATGAAAAATATTTCACATTACAAACGAAACTCAAAAATCCTGCTATATGTATGAAAAGTGTAGATAACTGGATAACAAATAAAGTAGGGTTAGTATTACCTGAATTGGAATACAACAATTCTGGGCATGTAGAACATTTAGGGGAAAATGAAAAACATGAAAAATATGCAAATATGGGAAATACAAACGACTCTACATATGAGGAAAGTTTTGATGGGGTTCTAGAATTACCCTCGAGTGGCAGTAACAATGAGCATACATCTGCTTATTCTGACAACATGTACTGTAACGAGGAATACTGTGATAGATGGAAGGATAAAGATGGATGTCTAGCTAAAATTGAGGCAGAAGATCAGGGAGAGTGCGCTACTTCCTGGATATTCGCATCGAAGCTACATTTAGAAAGTATCAAATGCATGAAGGGATATGACCACGTTCCTACTTCTGCCTTATACATGGCTAACTGTTCGCAAAAAGAGGGTGATGCAAAATGCCACTCTGCATCTAACCCATTGGAATTTTTGAACATTCTTGATGGTGATCAATTCTTACCATCTGCATCTGACATGCCATATTCGTACAAGCTGGTTGGCGATGTCTGTCCCAAACCGAAGCATCACTGGACGAATCTGTGGAATAAAATCAAATTGTTAAATCATGAGAATGTTCCAAATTCTGTAGGAACAAAGGGATATACCGCTTACCAAAGTGCACAGTTTAAAGACAAAATGGACGAATTTATCAAAATTGTAAAATCTGAAATCATGAAAAAAGGTTCAGTCATCGCGTATGTGAAGACTAACCAAGTGATGGGTTACGACATTAATGGTAAAGTGGTTCACGACATTTGCGGTGGTGAAATGCCTGACCTTGCTGTGAATATAATCGGCTATGGAAACTACATAAACGCAGAGGGAGTGAAAAAATCATACTGGCTTCTACGAAATAGTTGGGGAAAATCCTGGGGAGACAAAGGAAACTTCAAAGTAGACATGCATACACCTGCAGACTGCCAACACAATTTCATCCACTCTTCCGCTTTCTTCAATTTGGACATGCCAGTGGCTAACCAATACTCAAAGAAGGAACCAGAATTGAACAATTACTATTTGAAGAGTTCTCCAGATTTATTCAGCAACGTTTACTATAAGAAATTTAAGGCACAACCTGGTGATGTTACCGAAGGGGTGAAATCTTTCTCCGGCAATGCAAAGCTGTACGGTTCAGATACAGAAGAAAATACAGAATTAGTATCGGGTCAAGCAGATGTAAATCTTGGAAGTGCAGGTACTCAGGAACAAAAAACGGAGGAATTGTCTCCTGTTGCACCGGGAGTAGAAGCATCATCAGAGACAATCACTCCACCAGCACAAACCAATTTGAATGGGGATGCATCATCAGGACAAGTAGGAGGAGATACAGATTCAGCAGTGGGAACACCAGGGAATACCGAAAATGGAGGAATAACGCCAAGTGTATCTCCGCAACAACCACAAACAAGCACACTGACAGAATCACAAGATTCTCCACCAGTGGCAGTCCAAGAAGCACAGGGAGATGCCCCTGCTCAAAGCGTAGTTTCCGAGGACACGGAAGTATTGCATATACTAAAACATGTTAAAGACAATAAGATAAAAATGAATGTAGTTACATACAAATCGACTAGTTCCATTACTAGTGATTACATTTGTTCAAGTTCGTATGCATATGACCCTGAGAAAAAAAACGAATGTGTTGAGTTTTGCGAAAAGAACTGGAATTCATGTGAGGGAAAAATATCACCTGGATATTGTTTAATGCAAATGAGAGGAAAGAATGACTGTTTTTTCTGTTATATATAAAAGGTTATAAACTTGAAGAAAGCAAGTAAATGAATATTATTGACCTATTAATACAGCTTCTTCATTATGCATTTTTTACACGTAATAATGTTAAATCTGTTCCTTTTCGTGTCGAAAACTGGCAGCCAGTGGAGTGATTTAAGATTGTATTATTATTATTATTATTATTATAACTACTTCACTGTTATTAATTTTTTTTTTTTTATATATTTTATTATTTTTTTTTATTTTTACTTGAGTTTTAAATTTTCGAGCAGAACTAAACGATGCGTGGAAATTTCTTTACATTTCATTGCTGATGATTGGGTATGCCCCATTTAATCCCATGATGAATTTTCCTTACACACGCTTTTTTCGAATCATCCTTGTAACATGTGAGAGAGTGAAAAAAGTAAAAACATGATCGTCATATTTTTTCTTTAAATCAGAGTGCATTCTTTTGGTTAGACAATATTGTGTGTATATAAACAAATAGCTGAATATTTTCCAAATATTAATTTTTTAACTCGAAACGATAAAAATAAAATTAATGATTCTGTAAAACATGCCCACTTATGCATTATATTTAGATGGCATTAAGCGTTGTTCAAATTGTTTGCACAGAGAAAATGTGTTTTCAGCCAAATCGAAACCTTCGGTATAGTTATATATAAAATGTGAAAAGAACAATTAAATTTTTTTTTTTTTTTTTTTTTTTTTTTTGCAATTTCAAGTTGAAATGATTTTTATTAAGATGTCAATAATATTTGCGAAAAAAAAGTGAAAAAAAAAAAAAAAAAAAAAAAAAAGAATAGAACATACAGTAAGGTAGAATAACAACTGCAGAGAAAAAGTCTGAACATGTTTTTGTTTTATTTTTGTGTAACAGGATGAAGTCTCGTATTTCTTTTCTTCTTATAATATGTAAAAAAAAAAAAATAAATAAAATAAAAATAATAATAATAAATAAATACATAAACAGTTACGTACATATAAGTGCATATGCGCATGCGTTAAGGCACCAGTAAAATAATACCTCTCACAGAAATAAAGGCAAAAGGAAAATACATTACGCTCAAAATTAAGAAGCAGAATATATGAGAAATATTGTATGTTCTGTTAATGCATGCTTCTAAATGACTTTTCAGGAATAAGAAAATTTCACATTATTCAATTAACACATTTTGTCTTTTATACAGGTGTTGTATTCAGCCGAAGGGGGATTTGCACAAATGGACAAACATCTGATGAGGGATCCATTCCAAATCCACCACTTCCAAATGATAGTCAACAGGAATCTCCAGTTAGCGCATCAACTCAGGTACCACCAGGAAACCCCAATTCGGGAATCCAACCCACATCTGTAGATTCAGCTGTCCCTGAACAAGCGGATGCTTTGAAGCATAAAGGTGAAACTCTTAATGGTACTAAAAGTTCGCATGAATCGAATAGTAATCAAGAAAAAGCAGATACAGTTCCAAATGTCCCAGAAAATGTGCAAATTTCTGTGAAAGATGCAGAGAATCCTACTTCTAATGAAGAAGCAACACGATCTTCAGATTTACAAAACAAAGGAAACACAAGTTCTACTGATTTACAGAATGCATCTGTCAGTCCTCCTTCCGATATACAGGTCAAATCTGCGTTACTGGCTGAACGCAATGGGGTGAGAATTACTGGACCTTGTAATGCCCAATTTCAGCTATTTTTTGTTCCTCATATATATATTAATGTAGAAACTAAGGATGATAAAATTCAGATAGATCCTGTATCCTCAAATTCAAATCAAGTGGTACTATTTGAAAAAGAACCAATGAAGTTAAAAAATAAATGTAAGGTAGAAGGAACTAATACAAATACAAGTTCAGTTCAGAAAACTTTCAAATTTGTGGCCTTTGTTCATGATAATATACTAACACTTAAGTGGAAGGTATATGAAAAACAGTCAACCGATGCAAACACAGGTAATTAGAAAAAAAAAAAAAAAAAAACAGAACTAAAGCAGGGATCAATTCATCTTTATTAAGAAAGATAAGGATGAGTCAAATAAAGATATCAATAATTACTCATTTTGCATAACAATAAAAGTGATATCACAATATGAAAAAGAGAAACACTAACCAATGTCAAATTTGATGTACAAATTAGGCGTGTATCTCAACTGTGCAATTATTTATTAAGTATCAATTTTTATTTTTATACTTCGCTATTACTACTACTGCTGCTATTACTACCCATTCTACCCTTCTATGTGACAGATAACCTAGTAGATGTAAGGAAATACAGGATCCCTATATTGCAACGACAAATAACATCAATTCATGTGCACACAGCTGCGGTTGCTGGAGAAACGGTTTTGTTCGAAAGTAAGGATTATGCATTAAGGGATGACATTCCAAGTAAGTTAATAAAAAATAAATAAATAAATAAAATATTAACATTTAAAAAGAAAGTGAGAATAAGACAAAGGAAGAGAAAAACAAATGTAAATGAAACAGTCTAATTGTAAAAACATCTTTTATTTTTCCTCATTTTATTTTTCCCCATTTTATTTTCCCTCCTGAATAGAAAAATGCGACGCTATAGCCACGAATTGCTTTCTCAGTGGAAGTATGGATATAGAGGAATGCTACCAGTGCACTTTACTGGTGAAAGAAAAGGATAAATCTGATGAATGTTTAAAATATGTGAAACCATATATTAAGGATCGATTTGAGGAAATAAAATTAAAAGGGGAAGACGAAGATGAAGGAGAAGAATCTGATGAATATAATCTTTTGCAATCCATCGACAACATATTGAAAGAGATTTACAAAGTGGATGAAAATGGGAGCAGTAAGCTTATCACTCTGGAAGAGGTAGACAAATCTTTGAAGGAGAAGATAAAGAATTATTGTCAATTTCTCAAAGAGGTGGACACAAGCGGTAGTTTGGAAGTTCATCAATTGGGAACTGAGACAGATATATTTAATAATATAATCAAACTGATCCAAAAAAATAGTGACGATAATTATTTTACTTTACGGAAGAAATTGCGAAACGCAGCGGCATGCATGCAAAATGTAAACGAATGGATTACAAACAGAACAGGGTTGGTGTTGCCCGAATTGACAGATAACCTTTTGGAAAGTACTAGCGATTCATATTTTAATCAAAAAGGGGAAACACAGAATCACGAAAAGGTACATGACAATATGTACCATACAGGAAATGATGGCATTATCGATCTAACCCACCTCGGCAAAGCAAATGAAAATGCTACACATTTTGCAGATGTAATGTATTGTAATGAAGAATACTGTGATAGGTGGAAAAACAAGAATGATTGTCTAGCCAAAATTGAGGTGGAAGAGCAAGGAAATTGTGCCACATCTTGGCTATTCGCATCTAAGTTGCATTTAGAAACTATTAAGTGCATGAAAGGGTATATCCACGTTCCTAGTTCTGCCTTATATGTGGCTAACTGTTCAGATAAGGAAGGGGATGAAAAATGTCACGCTGCCTCGAACCCACTGGAATTTTTGAACATTATCGATAGTAAGCAGTTTTTACCATCTGTATATGACATGCCATATTCATACAAACTGGTTGGCGATGTATGTCCCAAACCGAAGTGTCACTGGACGAATTTGTGGAATAATATCAAATTGTTAAATCATGAGAATGTTCCAAATTCGGTAGGCACAAAGGGATATACCGCTTACCAAAGTGAGCATTTCAAAAACAACATGGATGAATTTATCAAAATTGTAAAATCTGAAATCAAGAAAAAAGGTTCTGTAATTGCCTATGTGAAAGTAGACGAGATGATGGGTTACGACATGAACGGTAAGGCGGTTCACGGCATTTGTGGTGGTGAAGTGCCTGACCTTACCGTGAATATAATCGGGTACGGAAATTACATAAGTTCAGAGGGGCTGAAAAAATCCTATTGGATTCTACGTAACAGCTGGGGAAAGTACTGGGGTGATGAAGGAAACTTTAAAGTGGACATGCACACACCAGACCACTGTCAACATAACTTTATCCACACTGCCGCTGTGTTCAACTTAGACATACCTCTTATGAAATCGAACACAGAGAAGGAATCCAAGATACACAATTACTACTTGAAGAGGTCACCTGAATTTTATCACAACTTGTATTACAAGAATTTTGATGGCAAAATGGATATTGAAGTAAACGGAGAAAGCGATATGGAGAAAAATCCTACCATATTTGGTCAGTCGCGGGACAATGAAGTAAGTGTAGTTGCGACAGAATTTGGGGGAGGAGTGCCATCAGCAGGAGAAAATAGTAATACAGGTGAAGTATCAGAAAAAAAGGAACCATCATCAAAAGATTCATCTCACGAATCACCACCAGAAGGTTCACCACCGAAGTCATCAGCAGATTCATCACCAGAGTCGCAACCAGAAAAGGTGACACAAAATGATTCACAAGGTATACAAGGAGAACAACACAGAGAGGAAAATAATGATGTAAAAGTAGATGTTGCATCACCACAACCACTGCAACAACAAGAAGAAGGGTCTGAACCACCAGTGGTAGAAACAGAAAAAACGCTAAAAGGAGGTTCAAGACCAAATGAAGTAACAGAAAAAGCAAAAGAAACAGAAGATTCGGAACAAGGAAGAGGTGTGGTATCACAATTACCAGCATCAGAAAAAGGTACAGTGTTACCGGTTCAAGGAGAAACAGAACAAAGGAGATTGGAGGAGCAAGAAGCGTTGAAAGAACAAGACGTAACGGGAGATGTAACTAAAGGTGATTCTCCACCCTCAACACAAAATGAAGAACTCGCAGATACACAATTACAGGAACAAACAGAATCAATACCAGTGGAATCTGAAGGAAAAGGAACGGAAGTGGAAATCACAGCGCCTGGAGGAACAACAGAAGAAAAAGATAATCCAAATCCTAAAGAATCAGAAAATATACTACAGTCACAATTACCACAAGAAAAAGAGCCAGTGCCACCTGAAGTACCATCACAACCTCAAACACAAAGAGTAGAAACAGAAAAAATATCAGAAGCTCCTGAAGAAAGAGCAGAATTATCACAAAAACAAAACACAGAGGAAGATACAGGTTCAAGAGAATCACAACCAGAACCACAACAAGAAGAACCAGCGACAGATGGACCAAGCGCAGCAGCCGGTGCAGGATTATCAGCTCAAGTAGAATCCTTGGCAGGAACAGCAGGAAGGAAGAAACTAATGAACATTAGTTCGTCTGATATAACTCAGAAAAAGGTTGAAGTAATACATATTTTAAAGCGTATTAAGAATACTAAAGTGAAAGTAGGATTAGCTAAATATAATAATTACAATGCTGTAGGGGAGGACCATGCTTGTTTGAGGGCCACTTCAGAAGACCCAGAGAAACAAGATGAATGCATACAATTTTGTGAAAGCAAATGGGACGATTGTAAAGATAAACCATCACCTGGTTATTGTTTAACCTTGAAGCGGGAAAAGAATGATTGTTTTTTCTGCTACGTATAAAATAGTGTAAATGTGTATAAATACTTCCAATGTGACAAGATACTTTCTTTTACTAAAAAAAAAAAAAAACTATAGCAAATTTTTGTTAGAAAATAAAAAGTTTCAGTTTTGCTCCTATGTTTAAATACAAATGTTTGTGTAAGTAAAAATTTTTTTATGTATTTATTTATTTTATTTTTTTTTTTCATTTCCCGTTAAGGGTAAATATCTTAGATAAGAAAAAGAATTGAACACAGTTGTTGCTCTTTTCCTTCTTGCTTTACATGTGTACACACTTCGAAATTTAGAAAACATAAAGTTAAGAAACCTAAATAGACGAAAGCGTTTTTACTTCATCCTCTTAGAACACATGCATTCATACAAATGTTGGTGCACATAGCGCATTGCCTCTTTTTTTTTTTTCTCCCTTAAGGTAAATTATTTGTGAACGATAATTCCTTTGTATTTTGTTTTTTTTTTTAAATTACAAAAATTTTCGAGTGGGTTAGAGAGGACATTTCCATACCAACCACAAAGGGGTGGAAGGACCTCTAAGTTATTTTTAAAAAAATATGATAATAAAAATTATAGGTAAAAAGAAATAATTACTAAATAAAGGGCAGAAAAAATAGGAGAAACGAAGTGTGTGCTGAATGAGATCGAAAGGCACTCTGATACGTAAAAAAAATGAAGTTGCATGTGCCATTCCTTTTCCTACTAAGTAAAAAGAAAAAAAGAAACAATGCACAACAAAGAATGAACAATAAAGAATGAACAATAAAGAATGAACAATAAAGAATGAACAATAAGAATAAAAATATTACACTGCATGATTTAGATAAAGTTAAAATAAATCGAATCAAGGCAAAGCAGAATGGCCATTTATTTTTCACCTAAAAATTGTTTCTTTTAAGAAATGCCACATGTTATCTAGTCCAATAAGCACCATTTCATTGTTACATGGGTACTTTTCCTTTTTTTTTTTTTTTTTTTTTTTTTCTTTAACAATTATAATGCAGTTGTTCTATTAAATAAGAGTGGAATAAAATGTGTAAAAAATGCAAAGTCAACTTTCGATGGAGGTATAGCCCTACAGAAAAGTTCAGAACCAGAAGACATGGTAACTAAAGATGATATCTCAATGCCAAGTCCAGCTTCAAACGAAGAGAAACAGGGACGTCCTAAAACTACTGATAAAGGTTCTGCTATGTTTAGTCAACACTTTGAAAGAACGAGACCTTCAGATTATGCTAATGTAAAATCAGCTTTTATGGAGGACGAAATCGTGGTAAAAATTAAAGGAACGTGTGGCGCAGAAATAGGAGTATTCTTCGTTCCTCCCATTTTTACTTATTCTCAAACGAATAATAATTGCATTGAAGTTATATCAGATTTAATAGAAACAGACAAAAGAGTCTTTTTTGATAAACATAAATTCCAAAATAAGTGTAACGAAAGTAAAATTAAACAGTTTAAAATTGTGGATTACATTAAAGACAATATGCTGAAGCTTCAGTGGAAGGTATATCCCACCAAGGACACGCAAAGTGAAGGTAAGGAAGAGGTATCATAAAGATAGTAAATATGTGCAAGAGAGTATATACATATGTATAGATATATATTAGTATATATTTCTCACATGTATATGCACACAGTTACGTTTGTTAAAATGGTAAATATACATCCACGTTTCAAATATACCCCTTAGCCAACAAAGAGAATATTAACTTATTTAGGATACCCTTCCTAGGTAATTATATACCTACCCTTCATGTTCCTTCATGGGTAGGAAATGATCATTTCTACCTCTTAGGAAGTAAAAATTGCAGTGTCGAAAGTGACATTTCGGATTCGTTAGGTAAAATAAAAAGGGGGAAAAAAATAATTTATGCATGGATTTGTTAATGCAGATTATTGTGTTAGGTCTTTGTTCATCCATATGCCAAGTTATTGTTTTAAAAAAAAAAAAAAAAAAAAAAAAGCCATATGAATATGTTCTATGTTGTTCATTTATATTCACATCGCACGCTTTCTGAGTACTCTTTTTTTCCCTCATTTTTACAGAAACAGATGACAGTACTTCTAAAATTTTCATGAGAATGGATAAAAATGCTGGAAAATGGCACACTCGCTCCTTAGGAGTAATTGAAGACTCTCCCCTCGATGAATATGATGACTATTTTGCACAGGAAAATGACACGGAAGATGATATAACCATTGAACAAATGAAAAGTGATGAAGAATCTAATGAAAATAAAATGAAAAAAATCATCAGTTGTATATTGAAAGGAATTTACAAGACTGATCAAAATGGAAATAAGAAACTAATTACACTGGAAGATTTAGAAGAAGATTTGAAAGAGAAGTTAATAATATATTGTCAACTACTCAAAAAGCTAGACACAAGTGGAACTTTAGAAAATCATGAGTTAGGAAGTGCAATAGATATATTTAATAATCTTACTAAATTCTTGCAAAAACATGAAAATGAAAGTAATTATAATTTACTACGAAAGTTGAGAAACCCAGCAATGTGTATGAAAAATGTAAGCGAATGGATTACACACAGGAGGGGGTTAGTATTGCCAGATTCGTCATGTAGTAACACAAATGAGAATGACACAATTTTTGAAACAAACTCCAACTGGGTAAATTATGTAAATGATAACATTAGAAATGTTAGCTACAATGTGTACAAAGGAGAGGATGATGGAATGACTGATGTGGATAATTTAAAAATGATGAATAGAAAATTCTTCAATTCTAGTGATAATGTTGATTGTAACAATGAGCATTCTGATGAACCGAATGATAAAAATGGTTGTGTATCTAAAATTGATGTGGAAGAATGAGGAAATTGTTGCACTTCCTATTATATATATATATATATATATATATTTTTTTTTTTTTTTTTTTTTTTTTTTGAACCTAAATTGCATTAAACAGAATTAAGAGGTGAACATAGTTTGTGCAAAAGAAATCCTATGAACTTGTTAGAAACAGTTGTGGGATAGTAGTAACCGCATAAGGGCAACATTAAAGTTAATATGCGGATAGATTATCCCAATAGTAACACAGATTCATCCACACTCCAGGCTTGTTCGATGCCAATTTATTCATTAATGAAAATGTGATTAATATATAAATTATTTAATGAAAAGTATGTACCCATATTTATATTTGTCTTTGAAAACAAAATTTTTAATCCACTGAAAGGGAACAAACAAAACAGTGGTAAGACCCCAGCTCAAGATTCCATTGCGCATGGGCAGACATATCCAGAACATGACATATTGGTTAGAAGAGACCCCAACAGCGGGGAGAGAATCATTATATAAATAATGAACGTATATTAGGTACAGCATCGACATGCATATGAACAATAAAGTAGTAATTTGAATCGCAATCTCCAAGTGCAGAAGATCAGATTAACGAAGGTGGCAAAACCTCTGAAAGGATTGAAATATTTCAACCTCTTAAAGTATGTCGAAAAAAAAAAAAAAAAAAAAAATCAGAGTAAAAATTAACCAGATCAAATTTGATCATGCACAAACTTAAAAACCCATTCAACAAGTCTAGATTAAAAAGAATGCATAGAATTCTAAAAAAATGTTTTTTTTTATATGACTCTAGGGGAGAGTATATTCCTAGAATTTGTTTAGTTAACAAGCATAAAACAGATAAAACGTTTTTTTTTTTTTTTTTTTTTCCCCTTTTGCAAAGTGTGTGAGCATATGTAAATATATGCAAATTTGTGTCTACTCCATGTGTTTTTTTTTTTTAAAAATATATGAAGATGATATTATTTAATATAGTGTGTATCTTCTCATAAAATTGGGTTTTCATTTCTTGAATTTTTAACCACTCTCACTAAGATATACGCTTCATTCTGCAGTATACTTCTTTCAATCAAATATATATTTTTTTGGTTAGGGTGCATATACGTATTATGATTTTTTTTCTTTTAATTTTTTACTATCCCCGTTTTGGATTTATTTATGCCATTTAAATGAAATGCATTTTCCAAGTTATGAGAAAAAAATACCTTTTTTTTTTTTTTTAAATTTTATGTTTTTAACTTTCCAACTCTCCGAAATGTTCTAAGAGTCGCTCGATTTTGGAAATACATCCCCAAGGGCAGAACAAATAGCTCAAAACGGCACAAAAGTGTTTATTACACAAGTACACACATAACACGTGTGTGCATGGATATACATCGACCGCGATCTTCTCCTGTTTTGCACTCACATAAGAACACACAAAAGTGTAAACAAAAACGTAAAGAAAAGCATAAACAAAAGCGTATGCAAGTTTGATCTTCTTTTTGAAACACAATAGTTGCATTGAGCGTTACAGTTGGCTCAGAACTCTTGGCATGCCATTATTACACACAAGTGGAAATTAACACTTAATGCACTTTCTATTTTGATTCGTGTAAAGATCGGAAAAATCATAAAAATGTGTGTAGCTCTAAGAAAAAAATAAAAAAATTCAATAATTCCTTTTTTTTTCCAAAAATAATAAAAAAAAAAAGGTCCAGAAAAAAAAAAAAAAAAGAAACAAAATATGGGTTACAACTTTAACCAAAATAAATGCTTTATTTGTATGAAAAAGGAAAGCATTATATGAAATAGTAGTCTTAAAACATATTTAAGTTAAATGCAACAAGATGAAGTATAGTATTCTCTTCCTTATTGCATTATGTGAGACAAAAAAAAAAAAAAAAAAAATTCAAAGAAATAATATATGAGACTAAATATGACACCACAATGGATAAGGCAATTTTACAACACTTTGGAAAAAACAAAACCATAACCAAAACGAGTTGAAGCCTTTTCTTAAGTTTGTCCCATTTGGGAAATTAAAATTTTTTTCATTTTTTTATCTCTGAATATGGCATTTTTCATTACATACTATTTTTTTTTAATATATTTTGTGCAGGTGCCACATACAGCAACACTCTGGTGAGTAGTACAACTACGACAACTGTGACAACTGGAACAACTGGAGCGACTCATGGAGCAACAACTTCTCAAGCAGCCACGGCAGAGGCTCAGACTCCAAATACAAGTACCGTAACAGCCTCTCCTGGAACTTCTTCTTCCCCTAGTCCCACAGAACAAGCTCCCAGTGCTGGCAGTGTACAAGCCGAACCTGCAGCTAGTCCAAAAAAAGATGAGATAAAATCTGCCTTATTAAAAAACTATGCGGGGGTAAAGGTCACGGGGCCCTGTGATTCAGATGTAGGACTGTATCTCATTCCGTATATATACATTTCTGTTATGCCAAAAGATGACATCATACAATTGTCAACCAGTTTCCCAGATTCGGACAACACAATTGTAGAATTTAAAAATGGAAATGATTCATCAACTAACAAATGTCAAGGAAGTACAACAAAAACGTTTAAGCTTATACTACACCTCGAGGATAATATACTTACCCTCAAATGGGTGGTGTATGACCAAGGCAACGGAAGTAAGTGAGAAAAAGGGAATGAAAATTGCACGCAACTCCATAAGGATGTGTGTAGATCAATTTTTTGCCCCAGTATGTGTGCATCCTTCTGCATAATCAACACTATCAATTTTTCTATACATTTATAAATATATATAATATATCTTCATCACAGCCTCCTCGTCAACATCGAAACAAGCTGATGTGAAAAAGTACAGATTGCCAAAACTGGAAAGACCAATAACCTCTATTCAAGTACATTCAGTCATAGTTCAAGGAGACAAAGTGTTCTATAAGAGTAAAGATTATTCCATAAACAAAGAGATTCCAGGTATGTTCATTCGAAAATATGATTGCAGTTGATATATGTGTAGATAAAAATGTGCATTAATTTTATGTACATAATGTGGGGAAGTCTAGTGCGTTTTTTTTTTTTTTTTTTTTTTTTTTTGTCCTGCTACTTATACTTCGTGTTAGCAATTTATAAGAAAAAATAAAATAGATATGGAATAAGCATGTTTAACAATTTTTTTTTATTATATTATTTTTTTTTTTTTTTTTTTTAACCCATATTTTCCCCTTTTCCCCTTTCACTTTTCCTCCATTTTAACAGAAAAATGTGAACAAATTGCAAGCTCTTGCTTCTTAAGTGGAAACACAGATATCGAAAGTTGTTATACATGCAATTTGTTGATTAATAATGACAATGTGAATGATGAATGTTTTAATTACGTTTCTAAAGCTTTTAAGGAAGATTTCTTAACAATTAAAACAAAGGGCGAAGATGACGAGGATTCCTCTGAGCACAAACTTGTGCAATCCATCGACAGTATACTTGATGTTGTTTATAAGACGAATGAAAAGGGAGACAAAGAGTTGATAACTTTAGAAGAATTAGACTTATCTTTGAAAGACGAATTAAAGAATTATTGTCAACTACTCAAAGAGGTTGATACAAGTGGTACATTAGAAGTGCACCAAATGGGAAGTGAGACAGATGTGCTAAAAAATATTACAAAAATTTTGCAAAAACATAAGGACGAAAAAAAAATATCATTGCATTTGAAGCTACAAAATCCAGCAATTTGTATAAAAAATGTGGATGAATGGATGGTACATAAGAAAGGATTAACATTGCCCATTTTACAAAATGGACATGGTGATGATTATTCTGGAGAACAGAGCAATGTAGGGGATAAGCAGAATGATAAGGGGTATACATTCCAGGAAGATAAAGATGGAATTATCGATTTGTCAGTTATAGGAAAAAATTCGAATGCTTCATCCACTCCATTCACAAATCACATGTTTTGCAATACAGAATATTGTGATAGATCAAAGGACAAAAGTAGCTGTCTATCCAAAATTGAGGCAGAAGAGCAGGGCACTTGTGCCACTTCCTGGATATTCGCATCTAAGCTACATCTAGAAAGTATCAAATGCATGAAAGGGTATGACTACGTTCCTAGTTCTGCCTTATACGTGGCTAACTGTTCACAAAAAGAGGGTGATGCAAAATGTCACGCTGCCTCGAACCCGCTGGAATTTTTGAACATTATTGATTCTAAGCAGTTCTTACCATCTGCATCTGATATGCCTTATTCTTACAAGCTGGTTGGCGATGTCTGCCCCAAACCGAAACATCACTGGACGAACCTGTGGAATAATATCAAATTGTTAAATCATAAAAATGTGCCAAATTCGGTAGGCACAAAGGGATATACCGCTTACCAAAGTGAGCATTTCAAAAACAACATGGACGAATTTATCAAAATTGTAAAATCTGAAGTCATGAAAAAAGGTTCTGTTATTGCCTATGTGAAAGTAGACGAGATGATGGGTTACGACATGAACGGTAAGGCGGTTCACGGCATTTGTGGTGGCGAAGTGCCTGACCTTGCTGTGAATATAATCGGCTATGGAAACTATATAAACGCTGAGGGAGTGAAAAAATCGTACTGGCTTCTACGAAACAGCTGGGGTAAATACTGGGGAGACAACGGAAACTTTAAAGTTGATATGCATACACCTGAACACTGTCAATATAACTTCATCCACACAGCTGCTGTGTTCAATTTGGACATACCCCACTTCGAATCTGCTTCGAAGAAGAACACAGAAATGTACAGTTACTATTTGAGTAGTTCTCCCGATTTTTATGACAATTTGTATTACAATGCTGTGGATGGAGTGAAGGGTAATGCGACGAAGAATGGCAAACACTTACCAGGAGGTTATACTGTCTCAGGGCAGGACAGCACATCAAATGGAGCAGATGCAACAACAGTTGTGCAGGGTTCAGAAACAACAGTGCAAGCAGAAAGTACTAGAGAAACAGGGGAAACAGGAAATCCAGGATCATCAGGAGTAGCAGGACCAGCAGCACCCGTCACTGTAACACCCGCAGTGGAAGAACCCTCACAAGAACAAGTGAGCACCCCATCAAATGTGGAAGATTCTAAGAAGACCCATGTAATACACATTTTGAAACATATTAAGGAGACCAAAATGACAACAAGAGTAGTTACATATAATGGTGAATACGAATTAGGGGATCATGCTTGTTCACGAACGCAAGCACAAAGTTGGGAAAAACAGGAAGAATGCTTAAAATTTTGTAATGACAATTTACCCGAGTGCCCAAGGAATGTTTCTGTTGGGTATTGTTTAACCAAGTTGCGAAAATCGAATGATTGCATTTTCTGTTTCGTGTGAAATGGTTTTGCACATCATTTTTTCACATTGGGCACGTATGCATACGTGCATGCAAGAATATGTGAACCCTTTTATGTATATAAGTGAGATTTTCCTTTAACAGGAAAAATAGCACATTTGTATTAAATCCTGATATGCCATAAGTGAGGAATCTTTTTTGTGAGTTAAGTAAAATGAATTTTATTTTACTTCATTGGTTTTGCTCCATTTATTATAATCTTCTTTTTTTTTTTTTTTTTTTGAGAAAACTCTTTTTGTTGCATTTTACATTTATTTCGAGCGTAGAAAAGTTCTAAGTTCAGTGTGCAAACGTGTAAGTGCGTGCGTGAAGATATGCTACAGAACAGAAACAAACATGAGTATATTCACACGTATATGCACTGAAGATGTTAATTCCTTTAAATATATTTTCCATATATATATAAACAATTTTTCAATATTTAAAAATAAAAATTTATTTAAACCTTCTGTTACAATGAGATACTTAAAATTGTGCATACACCTTTATACACTCCTAAAGAAAATTCCAAACAGGAAACGTATTACTGTGCTGAACGCACAACAAGAGCAAAGTTTTACATGCACACACGAACATGTAACAAATACACAATTTGCTAATTATTTTCATCACTTTTTACCTTTGAAAAAACTTTTGGGTTGATTATTCTGCTAGCTTTTTATCATGAAATTAGAATGTGCAAGATGCGATATATTAATGGAAGCGAGAAAGAATATTAGGCTAGATTAATTAGGTTCCGGTATTTTCCTAATGCACCCCACTCCCTATTTTACCTCACCTTGAGGTTTTCCCAATGCATGATAGTCGAAAAAAATAAAAACAGATCAAATCGCACCATTAACAAGATTGATAGTAGTAAAATTTTAGTTATTTTTTTCCCTCCCTTTTTAAATAAAAATAGGCAGTTTTTTTTTTTTTTTTTTTTTTTTTTTAAATAAAACAAAGCAAGTGTGTGAAAAGAAATAATCTAGTAACTTTTATTATTAATATTTTTCCTCCCCTTTTTAATGATAATAAGACGAAATGAAAACCCGTATTTCCTTATTCCTGATATTATGTAAGAAGTGGAAACGCTTAATAAATTGCAAAATGATCAAAATAGTCATATATTCAACACTTTTGGAAGAGCGAAAAGTGAACATGAGTGTGTTAATCATTCTAGAGTTCATATGTTTAGAATTATATAAATGTGTGTTCAATTATGTATATCTCATATTGTGCATGTACTTATAATTTTATTTGCATTTTACACAGGTGCTGTTTTCAGCAATAGTGCCATAAAATGTGAGGGAGGCACTGCAGGGGCAGGAACTACAACCACAGGCCAGACTTCAGGAATATCTACAGAAAACATCCAATCGCAAGGTGGGCAAGCTCCTCAAGGAACAGGTGAAGATACTAGTCAAGTACAATCTCCTGGTATACCTTCAGGAGCTACTGCTCCATCCCCTCCAATCAATTCAGATACACCAAGAGCTCAAGATCAAATAGTGACATCACCTTCCCCTCCATCCGAAGGCACGAAAAAGGAAATTCAGATAAAATCTTCTCTTCTTAAAGGTCGTAAGGGTGTAGTAGTGACTGGTTCATGCAATGCAAGTTTCCTAGTTTTTTTCGTTCCTTATCTTTTTATTGATGTGGATACGGAGAGTAGTAATGTTTATATGGGAACTGATGTGAATTACCTAGATGTGACAGAATATATGGGGAATAAAGATAATAAAAATGATATTAAAAATGTATGTGAAAACAATAAGAAGTTCAAATTTGTTACACTCATTGATGATGATAATTTGATTCTTAAATGGAAAGTGTATGGTCCAAATGATAAAATACCCAATCCTGGTAAGTGAGAAGAAAAAAAACATTAAAAGATTCATGATACTGATAATATTGCACATTATGAAGAAAATGCATAATTTACCCCATCTTTTGAATGTAAAAAAAAAGTTGGTAGCGAAAATGCTTTTTGTCTACCTCTTTGCAAAAATTATATGCATTTTGTTCGGTCTACCTTGACATGTACAATTTTTTTTTGATCCATCCTAATGATAATTTAATTTTTGACATTTATTTTATTTATTTATTTTTGTTTCTCTCCCCTCCCCTATTAGCTGAAAAAGTGGAAGTGAGAAAATACAAAATCAAAAATTTGAGTGGTGTATTCACAGCAGTGCAAGTGCACACTGCTTTACAGCAGAATGGGTCTACCGTGTTTGAAAGCAAAAATTATGCCTTAAGTAACGACATTCCTGGTTAGTTTCATCGAAAAATGAAGAAATAAATGAGGGCTCATTATTTTGTAGAAGAGTTAAACCTTTGCGTAGGTTCCAAATCATTGCCTTGGCAAGTCCTACTGTTTTATTATCACTCCTTTATTGCCACTTCTTCATTGCCACTCCTTTATTGCACTTCTTCATTGCCACTCCTTTATTGCACTTCTTCATTGCCACTCCTTTATTGCACTTCTTCATTGCCACTCCTTTATTGCACTTCTTCATTGCCACTCCTTTATTGCACTTCTTCATTGCCACTCCTTTATTGCACTTCTTCATTGCTAATATTTTTATTTCCTTTTTTGTAGAAAAATGCGATGCAATAGCAGCCAATTGCTTCCTCAGTGGAAATGTTTACATCGAAAAATGCTATAAGTGCACCCTGAAAATGAATGATGAGAATGAAACAGATGTGTGCTATAGTTACGTACCGAAAGATGCAAAGGCAGAAAATCAAGAAACCATCCCTGCCAAGGGAAGTAATGAAGATTCTAGTGAAGCTGAACTGGATGCATCGATTGATAAGATCTTAGAAGGAGTATACAAATATGACAAAACCGATAAGAAGATTCTTGTAAACTTCTTTGAAGCAGAAGCATCTTTGAAAGCAGAGCTGTTAAATTATTGTTCACTACTTAAAACGGTAGATAATAGTGGAATCCTGGAAAATTACGAGTTGGGTAACGAAGAACAGATTTTCTCAAATTTGACAAAGATATTGAAAAAACATCCAGAGGAGACAAAATCTACGCTGTATAATAAGCTGAAGAATGTTGCTATATGTATGAAAAATGCAGAAGAGTGGATGGAAAATAAGAAAGGACTTTTATTACCTACCTTGTCATTTGAAGACATGAAATTGAATCATAATTATACTGCCAAAGAAGGGGAAGAAAAAACGGTAAGTAATAACAACATAAATGAGGATGAACCAAATGGACACTTTAATGGAGTTATCGATTTAGAAACAGCTGAAAAGACTAATTTTAGTCCCTCCCAATTTGCAGATAAAATGTATTGCAACGCTGAATATTGTGACAGAACTAAGGAAGAAAATGGATGTATATCAAAAATTAATGTGGAGGATCAAGGAAATTGCGCAACTTCCTGGATATTTGCATCGAAGCTACATCTAGAAAGTATCAAATGCATGAAGGGGTATGACCACATTCCTAGTTCTGCTTTATATGTGGCTAACTGTTCGCAAAAAGAGGGTGATGCAAAATGCAACACGGCTTCTAGTCCATTGGAATTTTTGAATATTCTTGATGGTGAACACTTCTTACCATCTGCATCTGACATGCCATATTCGTACAAGCTGGTTGGCGATGTCTGTCCCAAACCGAAGCATCACTGGACGAACCTGTGGAATAATATAAAATTGTTAAATCATAAAAATGTGCCAAATTCGATAGGAACAAAGGGATATACCGCTTACCAAAGTGAGCATTTCAAAAATAACATGGACGAATTTATCAAAATTGTAAAATCTGAAATCATGAAAAAAGGTTCAGTCATCGCATATGTAAAGACTAACCAAATGATGGATTACGACATTAATGGTAAAACGGTTCACGGCATTTGCGGAGGTGAAGTGCCTGACCTTGCTGTGAATATAATCGGGTATGGAAACTACATAAACGCTGAGGGAATGAAAAAATCCTACTGGCTTGTACGAAACAGTTGGGGAAAATCCTGGGGAGACAAAGGAAATTTCAAGGTAGACATGCATACACCTGCAGACTGCCAACATAATTTCATCCATACAGCAGCTGTGTTTAATTTGGACATGCCACAGATGGATGTTAATACAAAGCAGGAACCAGAAATATATAACTATTATTTGAAGAACTCTCCAGATTTTTATAACAATCTTTATTATAAAAATTTTGATGCATTAAAGGCTAGTGCTTCAAATAAGCAAAATGGATTCCATAATAATTCTGTTATTCATGGTCAATCTGATGATAAATCACAAGGCTTCGGAAATTTGGCAGTGGATTTGTTATCATCATTTACAAAATTAGCGGGGAAAGCAGCTGAAGTAGCAGTAGACACAGCGATTAATGCAGCAAAAGACGTAATGGGAAGAGGAGCAGCAACAACAGGAGGTGGAGGAACATCGGGAACAGAATCAGCAGGAACAGGAGGAGAGCAAGGGCAACCAGGAGTAGCATCCATGTCAGGTAATAGTCTTGAAACTTCAGGATCACAACCCTCCGGGGATACAGCGGCTGTAGCAGGACCTGAACAAACTCCAACGCAAACAGCATCCGTCACTCCCCCAGTTAACACCAATGCGACGAGCACCCAAATGTTGCACATTTTAAAGCGCATTAAAAATAGTAAAATGAAAACACACTTGGTTATGTATAAAAGTCACGAAACTATTACTTCTGGTCACGATTGTTCAAGATCTTTATCAATAAATCCAGAAAAGTTTGAGGAGTGTGTGAAGATATGTAACGAAAATTGGTCTAAATGTGAAGATGATCCTATACCAGGAATATGTTTGTCAAAGCACGATGCAGATAAATACTGTATCTTCTGTTATGTGTAAAGAGAAATATGTGTGAAATGCGTAAGCTATTTTCTTTTCCTTTTAAAGAAATAGTTAAATAGTTTTTTTTCTCTTTTGGAAATCTATCAAATTTAAACACTACTTTTTTAATTAAAAGAAGAAAGTAAAAAGGAAGAAATTTTTTTGCATGCACTTTGTTGATGTATGGTACTACATATTTGATGCACAGCTAAGTAGTCATATTTTTTTTTTTTTTTTTTCTCTACTTCATTGCAATAATGAAAAAAAGCCAAACTTTTCAAGAAATGAAACTTTTTTTTTTTTTTTTTTAAACAATCCTAAGTAACCATCATCCATATGTATACATTGAGTTGATGCCGGTATGTATGTGTGTATGTATATGTTATACCTATCTTTAGGGTAGTTCTAAGGCAAATACAACTTTGTTAACCCTCATTTTTCCTTTTTATGCGCAGTCTTAAGAGTTCTTTTTTTTTTTTTTTCTACTTTTTTATTATTTCATGGCATGATCACTGTCGAGGGTTAAGGAAAAAACTACGAAATAGGGAAATTGTATTATTATTTTAATTTTTTATTTCCTCCCCCAAACCACACACACACATATTCCAACATGTGCACTAGCTGAAATTATTAATTTTTTAGATAATAAAAAAAAAAGAAAAAATGTGCATTATATAATCAAAACATTTTTGTTCGTAAATGGAAAAAACAGGAGTAATAAAAATTTGTAAGTTATTTATACCTATAGTAAACAAAAAAGATCTGTTTCGATTTTCCAACTTTTTCGAATTTCTCTAGAATTATTGCAACAATGCAGTAGCAAAATCGATACTTATAAACAACATATGAATGTGTCATTTTAAATCATACATAAAAAAAAAAAAATTCATTTACGTGTGTACATATAACACTTTAGGAGAATGTTTCAAGAATGGATGACAGAACATCTTGTTCTCGTCTGTTAACTATTAGGAGACTTCCACACATATTAAAACTTAGTCTCCTAGAATATTAAAGCATAAAGCACCTCTCCTAAAAGGGCGTGAAAAAAAAAAAAAAATTTATCGATTTTAGAAAAAAACGCTTTTATATTAGAATAATTTTGTTAGAATAAAAAAATAAAATATAAAAGTAGAGAAAATGTAATTAAAAAAACTAAAAAAAAATGATCCAAAAAAAAAAAAAAAAGAAGAAAAAAATTAATTAGAAAAAAAGTTTCTCATTTTAGATGGTAAAAGGAAGAACAGAAGAGAAATGGATATATGAAGGAAAAAAGTGAACAATTAGGGAAATAAAAAAAGATAAAAAAAAAAAAAAAATAAAAGTAAATAAATAAAAACAAATAAACAAAGTAATAAATTAATTAGAAACCAAGAAAAAGAAAGAAAAGAAACCTTTTTAAAAAAGAAAAGGTTTAGAAGAAATATCCTAATTTTAGCTTCCCAGTTTTGATGAAAATGATAATACGTCCCGTATGGATCTTCTTTGTATTAGGTATGTTAAGAGAAAAAAATAATAATAAAAAAAAAAAAAAAAAAAAAAAAAGGGTAAAATGTTTGCATTTTCGAACCCTACATCATATATTATATACGCTTCTTTCACACCTTGTATATGTCGTGAAACAATTTGTAACTATCCATAGTGGAGTCTCAGAGGGCATGACATTTTTCCGTAATTTAATTCTTTCATCCTAATGGTGCTTTTCAGTATACTACGTTACCACTTCTGCCCATTATTTATCTATCTATCTCCTTATATATATCTCTCTTTATTATATATCTATCTCGTTATTTATCTTTCCATATATCTATTCTATTTGTAGTCTTTTTAATTATTAAAAATGTTGTAATATGCGAGACGAATAAAAAAAATGATGCATCCGAAGATAGCAATAAAGGAGCAAACGAAACGAATAACAACTCATCATCTTCCCAGAATAACAACCCAAGTGATAAATCAAATAATGAAGATGATGATTTTCCTACAAAAACAATATCGTTTAATATGCCTACAAATTTAGAAAATGGTGGGTCTACAGATGATAATTTAGAGAATAAAGACAAATCAAAAACGACAAGGAATAATTCTTCTCAATCTAGCAATAATGTAACTGAAGATGGGATGAGTAATTCTACATCTAAATTAGGACCTCCATTTATATCTTCACGTGGACTTCAACAAACAAAACCATATGCACGTTCAGTATCAATGCAAGGAAAAAAAGAAGGAGAAAATAATAATAGCCAAAATAGATCAAAGTCTGATGGTCCCCCTGAAGGTCCAGTTAAAGTAGAATCTGCTTTATTAAAAAATTATAATGGAATCAAAGTTACAGGTTCATGTGGATCCTATTTTCGAGTATATTTAGCACCACACATACTGATATATGTTTTAACGAAAAATTCTTTAATCCAAATTGAATCCCTTTTTGATGATAATACAAGGATTGATTTTGAATATGCAGAAGATATAATAAATAAGTGTGAATCAGGGAAAACGTTTAAGCTCATTCTCTATTTAAAGAATAATATACTGACACTTAAGTGGAAGGTTAACCCTCCTCCTGCTGCCGTAGGCCACAAAGGTAATTTAGAAGTTGAGAGAAATGGAGAGACACACCCCATTTTGCTCAAAAAAAAAAAAAAGTAATAGTTTGTTTATCACCCATTTTTGTATTCATTTTTCTTTTCTTTCCACCTTTTATAGTTCATACTAAGGAAGACGTACGAAGATTCAAAATTCCGCAGTTGGATAGACCATTCACTTCGATACAAGTATACACAGCGGATGTGAAATCTGAAATTATTGAAACTAAAAATTATGCATTGCAAACGGATATTCCAGGTAAAGCTCTAAAATGAGAAGGGAGAGAAAAAAAAAAAAAAAAAAAAAAATTTACATATACTAATTTGGGTGGTATAATTTCATTTTTTTTTCACGTTTTGCATGTATACGTCTGATATAGAGAGGTTGTAAATGGATGGAGCTTTCATTTTTTTTTTTTTTTTTTTTCTTTTTTGTGTGTGCGCATGTATGTGTTAATTCTTTCGTATTCATAGAATTATTATTGTTTTTCCTTTTTTTCAGAAAAATGCAACTCTATTGCAACTGATTGCTTTTTAAACGGAAATGTGAACATTGAAAAGTGTTACCAGTGTACACTTCTGATTCAGAATAGTGATCCATCTTCCAATGAATGCTTTAATTATGTTTCAAAAGATATGAAGGACAAATGTAATAATATAAAAATGATAGGACAAGATGATTTAAATCCAAAGGAATATGAGCTAACAGAGTCTATCGATGTTATTTTAAAAAATATATACAAAGTGGATAATATTAACAAGAAAAAAGTGTTAATAACTTTAGACGATTTTGACGATGTTTTGAAAGCAGAGTTATTGAACTATTGCAAATTGTTGAAAGAAATGGATGAGAAGGGAACTTTAGAAAATTATGAGTTAGGGAATGAACTAGAAATATTTAATAATATTATTAGATTGTTAAAAATGCATCCTAAGGAAAATATTATTACATTACAAGATAAATTAAGAAATACAGCTATTTGTATAAAAAATGTTGACGAATGGGTGGAAAATAAAAGGGGCTTAGTGTTACCAAAAGAAGGAGAAATTTCTAGCCTTGAAAGTTCTTCTACCGATTCGAAGACTAATGAAACAGAAGAGGAAGATAATTATAAAGAAAATAATTACCTGCATGAAGACATGTATAGAAGTGACGATGATGGAGTTATCGATTTAGTGAAAGCTGGGAAGGAATTAAAATTAAGGTCGCCCTATTTTAAAAATAGCAAATATTGTAATTATGAATATTGTGATAGATGGCAGGATAAGACTAGCTGTATTTCAAACATTGAAGTGGAGGAACAAGGAAATTGTGGACTTTGTTGGGTATTTGCATCTAAGTTGCATTTAGAAACTATTAGATGTATGAGAGGATATGGTCATTTTAGAAGTTCTGCATTATTTGTTGCAAACTGTTCTAAAAGGAAAAAAAAAGATATATGTACAGTGGGATCAAATCCTATAGAATTCTTGAAAATTTTAGAAAAAACAGGATTTTTACCGTTAGAAGCAGATCACCCATATTCATATAAAAATGCAGGAAATGAATGTCCAAAACCGAAAGAAAATTGGGTTAATCTATGGGGAAATAGTAAACTATTATTTCATAAAATGTATGGACATTTTATGAGTTATAAAGGTTTTATTTCTTACGAAAGTAGCCACTTTAGTGATAATATGCATCTATTTATAGATCTTGTGAAACGTGAAATTCAAAATAAAGGTTCTGTAATTATTTATATAAAAACGAAAGATGTAATTGGATACGATTTCAATGGTAGAGGAGTACACACCATTTGTGGTGACAAAATGCCTGACCATGCAGCAAATATTGTTGGATATGGTAATTATATTAATACTGAGGGGGAGAAAAAGTCTTACTGGATTGTTAGAAACAGTTGGGGATATTACTGGGGAAATGAAGGAACTTTTAAAGTAGATATGCACGGACCCAAGAATTGTAAATACAATTTTATTCACACAGCTGTTGTTTTTAAGGTTAACTTAGGTTCCATTGATATACCAAATCAAGATATAGATTTACATAGCAGTTATTTTTCCAGACATAATTCTGGTTTCTTTCATAGTCTCTATTTTAACAATTACGATGATGAGGCTGACGGGGAAGAAAAATGGGCCTTTCAGAAGAGTGACATAAGTGACCATAATGGGGATATAAATAATGACAATAGTAATGGCAATAATAGTTACAGTAACAGTGACAGCAACAGTGACAGCAACAGTGACAGTAACAGTGACAGTAACAGTGACAGTGATAAGCGTTCTTACCAAAAAGGCAAGAAGAAGACAAGTGATTCATCAAAAAAAGGATCAAAAAAGAAACAAATTACAGCTCAAGACTATGATAACACAAGCAGCTATGCTGCTGCTTCTAGTTCTACTTCTAACCAAAGTGCCAAAGCAAACACCAGTGCTGAAAAAAACATACAGATATTACACATCTTGAAACATATAGAAAATTCCAAAATTGTAAAGGGATTAGTTAAATATGAAAACATAAATGAAACGCAGAATGAATATACTTGCTCACGATCCCATTCGAAAAACCCCGACAGATATGATGAATGTAAGCAGTTCTGTGAGGAAAATTGGAACAGTTGCAAAAACCATTACTCTCCTGGATATTGCTTAACCAAATTGTACAATGGAAGCAACTGTTACTTTTGTTATGTGTAAAAATAATAAAGCTGCGCGGCTCAGGATTTTCACTAAAAGGATCTGGGTTAATTCGTGAAACACCCATTCCTTTATCTTCCTCTTCATTTTATTATATTATATTTTATTTATTTATTTCTCTCCTTCAAGAATGTCAAAAAGTTGTCACCTCATTACATTTTTTTTTTTTTTAGTAAACACAAATGTGATTTTAATTAATGTTCCCAAGAAAGGGAATGCCTTTTGATTATAATTCTTTTTCGAATAATAATTTAAAATTTTTTTTTTTTTTTTTTTATTACACGGCATTTCACTTTTACATAAACGTAGAGAGACTGTGTAACTAATTTGAATGCACGTGAACATTCTAGCCTGCATGAATTTGCTTTCTCATTTTTTTGAGTATTCCTTTACCAAGTTCCTTCTTGGTGCTGGTTTGAGCTTAATACTTTTCAAACCCATGTTGCACGTATCATAAACACCTGATTATTTTTAAAAAAAATGACAACTTATGAAAATGTAAAAGAACGACTAGCTTCTTATTTTCCCTCCTCCTATTTGGATTGTTGCAAAGTTCCACTCATCTGCTTATAATGAGGAAACACACATCTTTTAAATTGAACTAATGAGAGAGGAGCAAAATTTATGAGTGAAATTGTTAAGTAGCGAAATCATTCTTTCGTCATATACAATGCATGCGAAAAGAGAATATACAAAAAGTATGGCTCATAATTGTGAAAATCGTTTAATTCTTCCAAGGAAAAATATGCACTGTTCATTCGATCTTACTAAAATGGCATTACACATTTCTCTCTAGGTGAAGTAACGCACTTGTACTGTCTTCACTTTATGGTTAAATAAAATTGTCTCGGGGCACATATTAGTCTAGTAGCATTGCTAATATACACACACTGGTGGAAAATAAAAAAAAATTAAAAAATTAAAAAACAAAATAACAATTGCATTTCTTGTTCAACGCAACTTCAAGTGGCGATTTTACACACATACACACAAAAAAAAAAAAAAAAAAAAAAAATATGAAAACAAAATAGTGATAATAATAGTGATAATAATAGTGATAATAATAGTGATAATAATAGTGATAATAATAGTGATAATAATAGTGATAATAATAGTGGTAATAATAGTAGTAATAATAATAAGGACAAAATAAGCCAATGTCCTGTATTCCTTTTTAACATCTCCCGAAAAGGAACACCTTTTTTATTAGGTTCCATAAAAACCAAGGGAAGTGTGTAACTTGGGATCCAAACTGTGAATTCACCTTTGTAAAACTGAGACACACACCTACGTAATTTGAAACCAATAGGACAAAATGATTCGTCGTCTTTGCTTCCTTTTAATAATATGTAAGGCAAGAAAAAGCAGAATAAAGCAGAATAATAAAACATATGGCGAAAAATGTGTTGAGCCATTAGAGAACCTATATAACAATACGCGATTTTTCCTTTCAAAGTTCCACATGTTGTATTTAGCGCACAGGATTCCTGCCTTAAAAATTTTTTTTTTTTTTTTTTTTTTTTTTCCTATCCCAATATATGTCTTCTTATAATTCGTTTCTTACAGGTGTCATATTTGGGAAATATGTAGCACGCTGTGAAGGGGATACACCAGTTGAGTCTGGTAATGGAGATTCTGGAGTAGCTACCCCTGGTGCAGGAGTTTCACAGGGTGGGGCTTCTGGATCGAGTGATAAAGACACAGATAAACCTCAGAGTCCTGAAAGCTCTAGTTCTAGTTCTAGTTCCAGCTCCAGCAGTCCTTCATCAGAAGATGTAGCAAAAGAACAAGATCCCCCTGCCGCAGTACCTCCCCCTCAGGCCGAATCTCCAGTTGGTACCGAACACCAACAACCAACAGCTCCACCACAAGACCCATCTGCAGATGGTACCCAGAACCAACCTCCAACATCTCCCCCTACGCCTTCTGCAAGCGAAACGAGGAGTCCTGATGAGAATCCAATTTCACAAATGACTGTAGCTGAACCTGAAGGGGACACATCTGCAGAAACAAGTGACGACTCAGAACAAGGAATTCAGATAAGATCTGCCTTACTGAAACAATTGAATGGAGTAAAAATTACGGGTTCTTGTAAAGCACATTTTCGTGTATATCTCTTTCCACATTTGTGGATTTATGCAGTGACAGGAGAAAACAAAATACAGTTGAGTCTCAACTTTGGATCAATACCATCCATTGATCTAGATAATCTAACGAACGATTGCAAAAAGGGTACTAAAGACACTTTTAAATTGATTATACATACACATGATAATAATCTGACTCTCAAGTGGAAAGTTAATGGGGAAGGAGCCGGTGAAGGTTAGCACATGAAAAAAGGAGAAAATATATGTAAAACTAAGCAAAGCTGATAAGAAAAAAAAAAAAAAAAAAAAAAAGGAAGAATTTCCTCTTTTTAAACACAAAATGATGCTTTGGACTTTTTACCCCTCCACCTTACTACAGAAGGGGTGAACGAGACATGCAGATGTTATAGTATGACTTTCCCCTATCTTTTCCCCTCTCCCCACTATTATATACATTTCTTTTTTTCATCAAATTTTTATAGGAAATAAAGCGGATGAGAAAACGTATAAACTTCCATCCTTAGAAAGACCATTCACCTCTATACAGGTTCATTCAGTCAACAGCAAATCAAAAATACTTGAAAGTAAATTTTACGACATAAAGAACAGCATGCCTGGTAAGTTCCAAAAAAAGGAAAAAAATAGGAAAAAAATAGGAAAAAAAAAGGAAAAAAATAGGAAAAAAATAGGAAAAAAATAGGAAAAAAATAGGAAAAAAATAGGAAAAAAAAAAGGAAAAAAAAAAGGAAAAAAAAAATTTTATGCTTTACATTACTCACTTTTGTTTTTTCACATGTACTGGATTCCTCTTGTCTCTTCATTTCTTCTCATCACACATTTTTTTTTTTTTTTTTTTTTTGAATTTTTTTCCCAATCCACTTCTCCCACTTGGTCAGATCAGTGTAGCATAATTGCCACCAACTGCTTTCTGAGTGGGAATTTGGATATAGAGAAGTGTTACCATTGTACATTGTTGGAGAAGAAAGTGGACAATGATAACGAATGCTTCAAATATGTTTCAAAGGATGCACAAGAATTAATTTTAAAGGATACAACAGTTAAGGGAGAAGACGATGAACAATCAGCAGATTACAAATTGATAGAATCGATAGATGCCATACTGAAAATGGTGTATAAGTCAGATAAAGATGATGAGAAAAAGGAATTAATAACGGTAGAAGAAATAAGTGAAGATTTAAAGAACGAATTATTAAATTATTGTGTATTGATGAAAGAGATAGATACTAGTGGAACTTTGGATAACCATGAATTAGCTAATGAGATAGAAACATTTAACAATTTGACAAGGCTTCTACAAATGCACTCTGAGGAAAACATTGTAACGTTGCATGATAAGTTGAGAAACACAGCAATATGTATAAAAAATGTAAATGAATGGATTGTGAATAAGAGAGGTTTGAATATCCCCGATGGTAGTACAACACATAATGAACAGATTGAACCAAACCAAATTGAAGAACTGTTTAAAGAATTTGAGAAGGAAAATAGTATAAGTGATGAAGCATTTGAAAAGGATGAAAATGGTATTATCGATTTAAATAAAGTTAAAAACAAAATGAAACTTAAATCTCCTTATTTTAACAAAAATAAATATTGTAACAATGAATATTGTGATCGATGGAAAGATAAAACTAGCTGTATTTCAAACATTGAAGTGGAAGAACAAGGAGATTGTGGTCTCTGTTGGATTTTTGCATCTAAATTACATTTAGAAACCATTAGATGTATGAGAGGATATGGTCATTTTAGAAGTTCTGCATTATTTGTTGCAAACTGTTCTAAAAGAAAACCAGAAGAAAGATGTACTGTGGGTTCAAATCCAACAGAATTTCTTCAAATTGTACAAGATACAAAATTTTTACCCTTAGAATCGGATCTCCCATATAACATTAATAATGCAGGAAATTCATGCCCTATGAAGAGAAATAAATGGACTAATCTATGGGGGAATACAAGACTGTTATATCATAAAATGTACCATAATTATTTAAACACATTAGGATATATTGCATATGATAGTGATACTTTTAAAGATAATATGGATTTATTTATTGATATATTGAAGAAAGAAATTCAGAATAAAGGTTCCGTTATTATTTACATTAAAACAGAAAATGTCATTGATTATGATTTCAATGGTAGAATCATTCATAATTTATGTGGTGATAATGATGCAGATCATGCTGCAAATATTATTGGATATGGTAATTATATCAGTTCTAATGGTGAGAAAAAGTCCTACTGGTTAGTGAGGAATAGCTGGGGTTACTACTGGGGAGATGAAGGAAACTTCAAGGTTGACATGTATGGGCCAAAAAAATGTGAACACAACTTTATACACACAGCTGTTGTATTCAAAATAGATTTGGGAATTGTGGAAGTTCCTCAGAAAGACGAAGTTCCCATGTACAATTATTTCTCTAAGTACGTACCAAACTTTCTCCACAGTCTCTTCTATGCCAACTATGACAAGGATAGCGACGCCCCTTCCTTTTTCCAAGGTTGTAAGGGAGAGGAAGCGATCGTTTCTGGGCAAACCAGTGAAGAGACAACGGAGGGAAGCCCTACCGATTTAACACAAGTTGGAGAAGCAATCAGCGAGTCATCAACCCAAGGTCAGACACCAAATGGAGAACCAGGAAGTGATTCCTCAACCCAAGGTCAGACATCAGATGGAGCAGACATCAGTGTGGAGACACCCCAAGCTAACCCAACTGAAGTAGTCCAAAATGCAGTACCAGGAAATGTATCAGTCCCAGAGGATAATTCAGGGGAGAAAAAAATAAATGTTGTGCATATATTAAAATATATTAAAGAAACTAAAATAAAGAGGACATTTGTTAGATATGACAGTTTAAGCGAAATAGAAAGTGCACATACCTGCTCAAGGGTATATGCCAAACATGATGAGAAGTATGACGAGTGTTTACAATTCTGCATGCAAAATTGGACTACCTGTAAAAACCATTACTCCCCTGGTTATTGCTTGACAAAAATGTATGTAGGTAATAACTGCTTTTTCTGTAATGTGTAGGACGTGTGTTATACAAAGGTTGTGGTATTTTTTTTTTTTTTTGGGGAGGACGTGAAGTTGGAAAAGTGGTGCGACATGACTTAGATATAGATCAGAAGTACTATTTTAAGTCTTTACAACAATGGGAGTGATATAACCTCTTTATGGAACATAATTCAAGGTTAAAATATGTTAACCGGTTCTCGTTGCCATACTTTGTCAAAGATTGAGTTATTTCCGTCGTAAGGATGACTCATGTGCTTTTAAGGAGTTGCTTCTATATTTCCTTACGAGGAATTATATTTTTTTTTTTTTTCTCAATCCATTTGAAACTCTTTGCTTTTTTTTTTTCTATATATATTAACGTGAAGATTGATGTCATTTTGAAATTTCAAATGTACGCCTTTTTTTTTTTCCTTCTACATACCGCACTTACTGCTGTTCCATTTGTTGCTGTTCCATTTGTTGCCTTTCCATTTGTTGCCTTTCCATTTGTTGCCTTTCCATTTGTTGCCCTTCCATTTGTTGCCCTTCCATTTGTTGCCCTTCCATTTACTGCCTTTACACTTACTGCCCTTCCACTTTCTGGGATGTTTAAAAATTTTTTTTTTCCAGCTTATTCGCAGAACTGTAGATTAAATAACAATTAAAATGTTAACACATATGAATTGGTTTTTTTTTTTTTTTTTTTTTTTTTTTTTTAAACGCTTTTCTTTTGTTCACACAACATCTTTTTCACCTTTGAAAGTAGCCAAAAAAAATAAAAAATAAAATGGAAAGTCGTTCAAAAAGGTGGGTTGGGCACAGTTATATATGTGTATACATAAATATCCACATGAAAATATCCCTTGTTCTTTTCTTTACGGAAGAATTGTTCACTAATATGGAATTGGTATACACCTCCTTAATATGAAGGCACTTACATAAAAAGGGACCCCAAATAAACCCTGTCAAAAATGCCTGCCAATTGGCTATCTTCATAGATAATGCAAAACTAAATACGCAAACCAATACACAAATGAAAACGCAAATCAGTACACAAATGAAAACGCAAGTCTTTTGTTGTTCATATTTTTTTTTTTTTTTTTTTTTTTTTTTACAAAGCATGGATTCACACGAGCACCAGAATTAATCTTACAATTGTGAATTTTGTCTTGACCTTTTGGATATTTCCAATTTTCATATTTGTGACTATATATTTCTGTAAAATTAAAATTTTACTATGAAAATATTTTAGAACAATTTTTTCAAAAGAAGGAACTTTCAAGGAGTAATATTTCTTTTTCATCTTCTGACACACCAATGAAGAGCATGCAAGGGAAAGAAATAATAAAGAAAAAAAAAAAAAAAAAAAAAAAAAAAAAAAAATTATGAATGGCTCACAGATGTCCAAAAATGGCTCAAAAAATGTTAAACGAATTGAACAAATTGCATGAGTTTGTCTGTATGAACAAATTGGAAAAACTTGTAACCCCCACAGATGCTGCATTTTTATTCAAAGGCAGATATTCCTACAACGGGATGGTGTATATATATATATATACATACATACATATATGCATGTATATGTAATAAAGCCGGTTAAGACAAATTCTTCACCATATCAAATGCATGTATATATATACAAGCCCCCTCATCATGTAAACGGACATGAAACCTTCTCGTTCCTTCACTTTGCTTGCACACACATTTGATAAATGCATTTCCATTTATTTATTTATTTTTTTTTTTTTCTTATACATAAGATGGTGAAAATTGTACCATAGCGTATAACACTTTTTATTCTTTAAAGTGTGAGCGTGTACAACTAAGCAAGTGAATATTCACACGTCCAGACATATTCATATATACGTACTTTTCCTGCACGATTGACATCCTGCAGAATGTGATTCTTTAAATTGAACACGGGTATGGTGTAATCTCAAAGCTGTGAAAAAAATTCCTTTGTACACCCCTTTCCCTGCTACATTCGTTGCGGTTATATTTTTTTGTTAATATATTTTTTGGCCACTGCTTACTTGCTCTTTTTTTCCTGATTTTATTTCCTTTTTTTATAAGTTTTAAGTCCTCTAGTCATGCGATCAGTATTATAAAAAGTTTGTATTGTATTTTTTTCTTTTTTTTGCTTGTTTGTTTGTTTGTTTTTGTTTGTCTTATTGTCTGTTTGTTTGTTCGTTCGTTTTACTGTTTGCCTTTTTACCTGCTTGTGCCTTTTTCCATCTGCTCCACGTGAATTAAGATAAAGAATAATCACCATACCAAAACAAAAGAGTACGAAGGGGACTACCTAGATTAGACAAAAAAAAAAAAAAAAAAAAAAACACCTTGTAGCTTCCTCAACTTAGTCTAAAATGAAAGCAAATGAAATAAAGTACTACCTTCTATTCACCTTTGTGGTCCATTTGGTAAAACGAGGTATGGCCATACTTGCTAGAACAAGTTCTTGTCTTTCGATTTGTTATGCTGTTTGTTATCTATACCCATATTTTTATTATTTATATTATTTTTATACTTTTATCATTTTTATTATTTTAATTACTTCTATTATTTCTATTATTTTTATTCTTTTACTTTTTTTTTTTTTAGCTTTTTTCTTCTTCTCTGTTTATTTTCAAGATGCTCCATTTTCTTTTTCTCAAACACATAGTTTTTTTTTTCCCCTCCCCCCTCTCTTCTCAAAAAAACAGTGAATTCGAACATATTAGTAAACTGCTTCGGAGTGTTGCACTGCAAGATGTGTCATGTCGCTATAAGAAATTGTTTCTTATCAGGAACCAGTAACATGTCAAAATGTATTAAGTGTGAAGAAAATTACTACAACATTCGGCCATGTACACATCAGATAGGTTCGTCAAATTGAATACATTTAAAAACCATGATTTTGTGCGTATAAATTTGTGCGTATAAATTTGTGCGCATAAATTTGTGCTCATCTTACAGACACGTGAGAAAAAAGCATAAGTATTCATAACAGTGCATGGTATTTACCCCCTGTGTGTCAGTTTAGCTACTTTCTATTGTGGTTTTTTCCACTTTATTCACTCACTAATTATGTTTTCCATTCCTTTTGATTTTTCAGAAAACTTCATTCAGACATCGACGGATAAGGAAAATTTCGTTGAACTCAAAGATCACGTAAGGGGAAAAAAAAAAAAAGGAAAAACCTAGAAAAGCACAGTGGGGTGGCAAACTGGACAAAATGAGAGAAAGTGAAATAAAAAAAATAAATTCGATTAATGCATTCGTTAACCCAGAAAATACACTACTTCGCGCGGATGGGAACATTTTATCCGACAATTTAGGCCGACAATTTAGTCTGTCAATTTTATCCGACAATTTAGTCCGTCAATTCAGTCCGACAATTTAGTTCGTCAATTTTCACCACCCATCTTCACCACCCCTTTTTAAAGGACTACTTAACGGAAAACAAAGTAGACGCTTTAATTTCTGAAGTTGTTAAAATGTCAAGTGAGATGCACAAGAATGAAGCAAGTGCTAGAGAAAACCTAAGTGAAGATTTAAAAAAAAAAATAATGCAGTTGTGTTTGTATTCCAATTTTTCTGACAATTATGAAAATGCAAATAAGCACGAACAGGCAAGTGTAGAAGATGTCGAAAAGCACATCCACAAAATAGTAACTATGTATATAGATGGAAGTAACCATATGGAACATATTATTAATTCTATGAAAAATCCAGCATTGTGTTTAAAGAATCCAGCAGAATGGACAAAGGACAGAGCTGGTTACAAAGATAATGATATACCTTCAGTAGGAATCATACCTGAAAGAAAGTTGTTTAAACCTTACCAAGTTAAATCTCTTATGAGTTCCTTATATAGCCATAACTCTAACTGCAATAGACAATTCTGTGATAGATTTTCTGATCCAAATGAATGTGAAAACAAGATCCGAGTCCTCAACCAGGGAACGTGGTAAGGCAAAACATACATTTTTCCGTCGTCTCTCATAGTGCACTCCTCACCTAGCCATACAAACCCACACATACGCAAACCCGTTTGATATATATATATATATATAACACCTCCTTCATGCATTATGTTATATCACCACCCATTTTGCAGCGGAAACTGCTGGGCCTTCGCCTCTTCCCAAGTGATATCAGCATACAGATGCAGAAAATCCCTTGGGTTTGCAGAACCATCAGTGAAGTATGTAACTTTATGCAAGAACAAACAATTAGGAGATAATGATTACAGTTTGTTCGGGCACTACAATGATAATATATGCAGAGAAGGTGGACATTTGTCATACTATTTAGAAACTGTGGATAAGAGTGGAATATTACCAACATCATATGATGTACCATATAATGAGCCATTAAAAGGAGCTGATTGTCCAGAAAATAACAAGACATGGAGTAATATGTGGGAAAAGGTAAATTTAATTGATAGAATATTAAATGGGTATCTATATCGTGGATACTTTAAAATTTCATTTCATGAATATACAAGAAATGGAAAAACAGAAGAATTAATTCGATTATTGAAGGATTACATAATAGAACAAGGATCTTTATTTGTCTCTATGCAAGTAAATGAAAAATTAAGTTTTGATCATGATGGTGAAAAAGTAATGATGAATTGTGAATATAATGAATCACCTGACCATGCCTTAGTATTAATAGGATATGGTGAATATATGAAACCCTCAGGAGAAAAAAGTTCTTATTGGTTAATTCGAAATAGTTGGGGTTCTCATTGGGGGGACAAAGGAAATTTTAAAGTAGATATGTATGGTCCTGGAAATTGTAATGGTGCAGTATTATGTAATGCATTTCCATTACTCTTACAAATGAGAGGAAACAAAATTAATAAACCTTTGCCTAATGATATGGCATCTACTGACAATAAAACCAGATATGACCATTCTTACTTTAATAGAGATAGAAATAGAAACAATTCTAGAAGGTATAATTATTCAGGAAATAATCAAGTAAACCCCAATGGACGACGGGGTGGTGATAATAATAACCCTTTTGATATACCTAACCCCAATGATACATTTGATGATCAAAATCGATATGAACCTAACTTTGATCCTTACAATGGAAATAATAATTATCCACATGTTGACAACAAGAAAGATATGGCCAGAAACAATAATGCTGGAATTAGTGACAACAACAGAAACAGAAATATAAGACACAAAGTTTTTAGAACCACCCTATCATTGAATATAGGAAATACTCAGTTTAAGCGAAATATACATATGAAAAGTAGGTGACATGATTATGTAATTAGGATATACTACCATTAATGTGTTTCTAATACTTGAAAAAAAAAAAAAAAAAAAAAAAAAAGAAAAAAAAAAAAAAAAAAAGCATTATCCTATGTGTATATCATTACATATATTGCAAGAAAGGGCAATGTGGAATCTTCGCTCTTTTTATACCTATCTGCACATGTCCCCCCATGTGTACTATGATCAACACGTTTATGTGAATTTACATTCTCTCCCTTTTCCATGCTACTCTTGCAAATTCTGTGCGATGCCTTTCCATTCTTATAACCACCTTTTTTTTTCTTTTTTCTCCTTTTGTAGGAAAAGATGAGTACAAGGAAAAGACGTCTTGTTTAAGAACTTATTCCATGGACACACACGAAGATATCTCTTGTCGAAACAACTGCGAACGATTTATTGACAAGTGCCAGTATTACACATCTGTTGGTGGATGTCTAATGAAGTATGCCCCAAATTACAAGTGCGTTTATTGTGGCATGTAAAGTGGGTGATGGTTTCACCTCATTCATAATGAAATCTGATGCAATTGGAGAAGGAGAAGTGGGCAAAAGGAAAGAAGAAGAGTGAAAAAATGATGAGTGAACAAAGAGTGGACGAATGAACCAAAAAACAAACACGCGCACAAACTGCGTTCCGTTTTGAAACATCTGAGCAAAGCAGAATATACCTTTTTAGGGATCACCACTTTTTTTAAAATTTCTAAAAGGAGGGGATTTTTCAACCTGGGAATTACCAAAAAATGGAATGAGTAAAAAAAAAAAAAAAAAAAAATTACATAATGATTGTTTGTCATATGGTACCATAATCATTATATAATGATTTTTTTTTTTTTTTTTTTTTTTTTTTTTTTTTTTTTTTTTTTTTTTTTTTTTTTCCTTTTTTATTTTTATCCCCTCCCCTTGTTTTTTTCCCTTTTTGTTTTTCCCCCTTTTTTTTTTATTAAAAATGTCTGCGTGGCACCCATGTCCCACATAAAAAAAAGTGCAATAAATAAAAAAATCTTTTTTTCTTGCTTTTTTTCCCTTTTAAAAAAAAATTTTTTTTTTTTTTTTTTCTTTTTTTTGC